ATTTCCTTAAAATCTTAGTGTTTTTAAGCTTATTATCCAACCCTAATTTTGTATTTCCAGCTGTGGCTATGAATGATGTAGTAAATGTTTGAATACAGAATCTGGGTTATTTTTTAGGTTCGTTTATTCCTTAAATGTCAGTCCGAATTTTCTTTCATACTGATACATTTTTTATAAGTCGAATTGTATAGTTTGAGGATTATTTCAGTCAGAAATCACCCGCATTATCAAGAATAACGGGAAAGTTCTTTCCTTTTATTTTGGTACTTCTTTACAATTCACAACTGCCACCTGAAACTTTCACCTAATTTGGGACCTTTAGGTTTCTTGGCACAAGCATCATTTAAGTAGACCATCGATTCAGAATTCGGTAGTTCACGTGTTTTTAGTTTCAGCCAATTTTTACTCTAGTTTAGTTTGCTGCCTCACTCTCAGTATAGTTAACTTCATTTGTGGACTTTTCCGACTGGAACCTTGGCAAATCTTAGTTTGTAATACAAAGCAATATCATATTATTGGGTTTTCCTTCTCTAAGCGTTATCCGTCACTAATGAACCCGCCATATATGATAGAAAATCATTACCAGTTAAATAATGCTAATAACAGACAAAACTAAACAGTTAGACCCGTTTCTGAGACCAATATAATTAGGTACTAAACATAGTAATTGGTAAACCAACGAATCAATGAAATCTTCATGAAAGTTGCATGTGCTTTTACATTCTCATTAATCAGCATCCTTAAATATTGTATGCAAATAGGTTAACTAAATAGATATAGTTTGCATTGATTTGTATAAGATTATACTATGTGCATCGTGCATGTTAGATTCAGAAACAGTATATCAACTAAAAGATACTTCCTTATGATATATAACACTTTACGCGATCAATAACGTATTGGATATTTTGAAACGATTTCCTTGATCATAATGTACTAGAATTTGTTTTAGACAAATAAGGAAAGAATACATTTTTAATTCTTCCGAATTTTTTAAACAAAAAGTGGCAATCGAAAGAGTCTCATTGGAATTTTTAAAAACTATCTGTCATTATCTCGACTGAATATGTTTTGTATATCGAGATTAAAATCTGAACTACTGCCAACCAGAAGAGAAAACTCACTCTTTGTTCTTTAATATGAGGGCCAATAATTGGACGAATGGTGGAAACCCAAATTAACATACGGATAGTTTCGGTGGATATGGTTGACGGTGGTGTTTGTATGAATTAATGATTCCTTTGTACTTGTTGACTGCTTGATTTTGAATTCCAAATATAATAGGTCCATTCGTGCTCATCTAATACTTTTTGGCTAAAATGGGTTATTTCTGGGATTCTTAATTTGTACTATATTTCAAATACTCACAATCATCATTTTAACATCTCAAAAATCCTCGTAATGATTTTTATATCTTCAGGGAACATTTATCTCATGAATCAAAACAATTATTTCATATAATTTTATGCCACCAAAAAATGGTCACAACAGCTTATCTAAAAACATTTTAGGTTCGTTTTACCAGGTGTCAAAAATTCTATACTGACGAAACTGACCGTCTTTCATAATATATTCTTGTAAATACGCGAACCATTCATCACAAAGTACTAGTCAAAAACATAGTAGTGAAGCCAGCAAAATGACAAAATAATCGTTTAAAATCAACACAAGCAACAAAATAAAAACTCTTGGAAGCATTCAGCCGCAAATCGCGATGTGAAAAAATAGTTTGACATATTAAGCTCTTTCCTAAAGTCACTTGAGTTCGTAGTTTATGCTTATGATGTCCAACATTTCAAAGAAAGCTCAAAGAACTTGAAAAACGTCAACACATTTTAGTAGAATTTTTACTCTTTATATATCACTTTCTGATTGTGAATTGCAACTGTAATCTTTCTCAATTTGAATTCCTTGAATTCTAAAACCTTTTCGTCTCAAGTTTAGTTGATCGACAGGCGGCTCAATGAATTATATAGAGGTTGACTATGGCTGACCAACTGCTTATAGCCAACTGATTCAAGTTAATGTCATATTAATATTCTTTCATGTTGAAACAATTCTCTCATGCTTTCGTCATCATGCTCTCTCGACTTAACATAATCTTTGGTTTTTGATGATAAGTAAGAAATAAATCTCGAATCTTTAGGCGAACCTTAATTTATGGTCGAACAAATCAACATGAATAGTTGTTATTTATTTATTTTACTTATTTTACTTACTATTAAGCGAAGTCGCAGTAAAAACATAAATATTAAGCCTACCTTGTTACATGTATGTCTATATCTGTTTGTGTTGAATTATCCGAGCTAAATGATTTGGTCTGTCATAGAACACATGGAAAACAAGTACCCTGAACTTCATTTCTTACTGATCTTGCTTCGCAATTTATCACTGCTCAACAGGTTAAAAGTGAGGCGACATGGTTCATGATTTTGAATATCCTTTAGTGTATGCCTGTAGCCATGAACATAAATTCGACTGAAAAACGTCAAACGTTTGTGTAAAAGAAAATACAAGAATGTCAGAGGAATTTCAGGTGCACTATATTTAGATCGATTAGCAACCAACTGACACATAGACACTGACTGGATCGATGAACCCGTAAGAAAGATATCAATCAATCACAAGGTCTGAAGTCAACCTCCACAGACATTCAATACGAATTCAAACGTAAACGTACACTAAAAAGTCCAGGAAGGCATATAATCACGAACATAATGAGAATAAGCCGATATCATACTGTAGTGAACACGAACACGGGTGGGGACAAACGGATGTATTTAGCACAACAATTACAATCTATCTCAGCAAAATCTGAACACCATACAGTAAATCGTCAATTTGCAAAATATTCATGCATCAAACCAAACTGGACTGTTTCTGTTGCGAACACCAATCCATTGTCTCCCATTCCATTGTTCATGCATTTTCTTACAAATTCCATTGTGTTCTCGCTCTACCTTTCTTGACCTTCGCCATCTTCCGCTGCCAGACATTGCGTTCTTTTAACGCACGTTATATACTACTTATATCAATATAAGTAGCTCACACCACAATACCAGTAGATAAATAGAAAACTCAATTCTTCATGGGCCCAGTATCATCAAAGCATCCTTCAAAACAAAGAAGGGGGAATTGTTATTCAATTTTATGCATTTATCAATGAAGGCAGTGACGACGATTAAGTTCACTTTTACGAGAGTCTGCAATCAGTTATGGTGGAGTGTCCAAGAAAGGATCTCAACAACCTGATATGAAACCTAAAAATCAAGGTCGAAGTGGACGACACCGGATTTGGAGATATCACTGAACGACATGGAATGACTGAGAGAGAGAAACGAAAATGATGAGAGGTTTGCAAATCTATGTTCATATGCGGCACAATATTCCCACACAAACGCATACAGAAAGTCACACGGATTTCACCGGATCACATTACACAGAACCAGATAGATCATATTCGTGTCAATAAAAAGTTGAGAAGTTCAATGGAAGATGTTAGAACCAGGAGAGGAGCTGACATAACATCAGATCACCACTTGGTTGTGGCCAAGATGGAAATGAAACTGAGCAAACACTGAAAGGCTGAAGAAACAGCAACACAAATGTTTAATAAAGCCTTCTTACGAGATACTAAAAAACTCAACTAATTCGAGATGACTCCCAACAACAGGTTCTAATCCCTACAAGATCTACTGAAAGAAGAGACCGCTAAGGACAACTGGAAGAGGTGGAAAGTTTCACTTATCTGGGTAACATCATCGATGTACGTGAAGCATCTTATGCAGACGTAAATGCGAGGATTTTCAATGCAAGGACAGCATTCCTACAGTTGAATAACATATGCAACTCAAAATATCTGTCAACCAATATCAAAGTCACAATCTTCAATACCAATGTCAAAACAGTCCCACTGTATGGAACTGAAACTTGGAGAACTACCACAACCATCATCAAAAACGTACAATTAATTGTAAACAATTATCTACGTAAGATACTCATCGTCCTTTGACCGGATACCATTAGCAACAGACCATTGTGGGAGATAACAAACCAACTTCCAGCTGAGGAGGAAACTAAGAAAAGATGCCAGGAGTGGATAGGACACACATTGAGGAAACCATCAAACTGTGTCACGAGACAAGCGCTAACTTGGAACCCTGAAGAGAGACTGAGAAGTGGAAGGCCAAAGAACACACTGTGCCGTGAATTGGAAGCAGATATGAGTCGGATGAATAGCAACTGTAAAGAACTAGGAAGGATCGTCCAAGACAGGGTTGGATGAAGAAAGCTGGTGAGCATCCTATACTTCTCCATGAGTGGTAACAGGCGTTAGTAAAAATTTAAGTCAGCTTCACCATCTACAATTGTCATTGATGCGTACCGGCAAGGGAATTTCCCTAAAACTTGGATGTGGGAGATGGTTTCAAATAGAAATACATTAATTTATTTGCGATTTCTGGAAGGCACAATATTTAGTATTTTTGTATGATTATCAAATGGAGTTGTTTGTCAGCCACTGATCTTATTCAAATACAGATAATCTCCGTTGCCGAGCTGTGTTGCAGCTCGATGTCGTCGAATAGCTCGCTTTTTGTTTGCTGGTTTGATTTCTATGCTTTGGATAGCTTACAGGAATGTTTATTTTAGGGATTTATTTTCCTCTGCAATGCAACAAATTAATGACATAATAAGATCAATTGATTTCCTCTCTTGCTTTTCATCTGCTTTTCGTTATTCCGTACTGATATCTTATTTTTTCTACGAAAAACTGCAACCAACCAAATTACTGCTTAGTGATGTTAAGGCTGCTTTTCCTAGAATCCCTACTGATCTGTGACAAATACTCAGAATGCAAGATTGTCGAAGTGACTGGATATATTACATTCAAGTAATCACAATATATGTAGTTGGATATCGTTAAAGACTCAAAACCGTGCTGAAGAAACAAGAAGCAAGCTCAAAGAAGTTCTTTTGTTGACACTAGTTTATCACACGTTATTGGATATTGAAGGTACGAATGTTATGGTAATACAAGCGAGGTGTTATGAATCTAAATGATTTGTAAACCACCATTTGGTAGCAGCACGGACAGGTTGGTATTTATTATGTTTATGACACGTATTTAGACGACGAATTAACGTCCACCCAAGATGGATGAAAGAAATCTTGTCCACTGACATTGGTCCGGGTTCTTATGAATGTAATGAATCGTGTACACGGAAAAGAAACACCATAAACACTTCCAGTTTAAAAAATAATATATCAGGCTGGAAAAGGGAGTATGAGGTGCAGCGTAATGCCACCATACCGAATCTATTCAGTCGAAATCTAAAACTATCAAAGGAATCTCAGGTAAATGTTATATATTTTAAACGTTTTGATAAGATAGATGTTGATAATGGTGTTATGTGGTAATTTTCAGATATGAACACATTTTTTGACAACATTTTGGCATGATTGTTATTGAACTTTTATGTCGCCCATTACTTTTTGAGCAATAAATCTACCCAACAAATATTCCTATAGGAATTCAGTTTGCCGACCTATCATGCATATGCATATGGTTTATTGATCCAGAGTAACTAAAATGAATTTAGTAACGTTATCCAAAGCTACCCAGCAACAAACACCATACATATGGACTCATTTGGAAGACGTAAACCATATAAAATAAGTTTAGATTAATGAACTTAAAAGTATTTTGAAAGATTTGAGGTTATATGATTCGATTTGTATCATCTTTCAAGGCATCTAAATAGTTAACGCAAAAGATATAATTTTTTAGTGTGATGAGTTTGAATTTTCGTTGAGATGCCTATAAATGCTAAAGATCAGTTTCAATTTCAGTTTGGAAAGGATATGAGACTTGATGGCCTGTGTTAATCCTGGAAATGATGGTTTCTTGATTGACTCAACTTTCTTTTGGAAGAGTCGAACGATAAAGCCTCAATCACGTGCTAAAGTAATCAGTTGCACTCGTTGATAGTCAACTGACAAATAATTTGTTCTGGGTTTGTGAACTTTTCTGGAGCGTCCTCGTAAATTCTCTGTTTTGGAAGATAAGGAAAATGAGGGTATATCAAGTACGGAATTTATCACTAGCTGATTTGAAAACTGTAATCAAGTCGCCTCTAGTTCTGCGATATCACAACGGGAATATGTTTAGCTTGGCCAGTCGAGCATTATACGGGTGCTTCGCTATTCCGGGAATCAGCTCAGTTGTTGTTCCCTGAACTTCTTCCAAAAGCTCACTGTCTATTTTTAAGCAGAGGCTATCCGCTTGTATGCAGTACTCAAGTTTAGGACGCACGAACACTATATGCAAAGCCAAAAAGGTTTAAGCGTCGACGTGCCTAAAGGCTCTACGTACTGACCATAAAGTCTTAAAACCTTTGGCAGCCATTGCATGGCAGTGTGCATTAGTCTTTACGTCTTGGCTAACGATGAATCCTAAGTCATTGTGTATCTGGACAATAGGTAGTTCAGTGGTATTCATCATGTATGTATCTGTGCCTTGATGACTGATTAGCATCGCAATACTTTTGGACGTATTTATCGGCAACTGCCAGGTTTGCGACCATTCAAATAGTTCCTCCAGGTCATTCTGGAGTTCTAAGTTATCACTCTTAATTTGTATCCCTCTCCATATATTGGCATCGTCAGCATATAGCACGCGTGATGATGATAGTAGGCAAGGAAGGTCACTTAGATACAAGGGGAATAACACTGGACCCAAAACTGTATTCTGGAGCACTCCACCAAGCACAGTTTCCCAGCTAGACAACATGGAGTTCACCCGTACCTTCTGTTGGCGCCCAACTAGGAAGTCCCTTATCCACATCAATAGATTGCGTCCAACCTCGACATTTCTTAACTTACATAACAGCCAGTTGTGCGGAACTTTGTCGAAAGCTTTGCTGAAGTCAGCATAGGCCACGTCTATAGGTAACTTTTGGTCCTTTAGAGCGTACCCGTTTTTAAGAGTCACTAAAAAGTTAGTGAGACAAGAATAACCTGTTCTAAAACTGTGCTGCTTTTTTCGGAAGGATCCGGTTTGATTCGAGGTACTTAAACAGCTCCTTCAGAATAATCTCTAAACTTTTAACAACCACACTAGTCAGGCTAACGGGTCGGTAATTCTCAGGTTTATGTTTTGTACCTGTTTTGAAGACAGGACTTACTATGGCGTTCTTCTAGTCTTTTGGTAAACGACCGTGGGTTACGGATAGATTAAAGCATATACTTAAAGGATTCGCGACGAAGTTAGCAAATTCTTTTGGTAACCTAGGATGTGGTTATCGGGTCCTGTGGATTTGTCTATGTCTAGCTTACTTAACAGACCAAAGAAATCGAGTTCTTTAATAGTCACGCTGTTTAGTGTTTGTGTTAGGGCTTTGCATGGCTTGACGGGGTGTTTCTATGGTATATACATTGCTGAAGTAGTTTGAGAATACTTGAGCCTTACCAAAGTCGTCTTCCACTAATGATGAGGCAGTACTGTCTCCCCATAATGCAGTAATATTTCCTCTTCTTTCTGTCCTTTGGTTTATATAGGAATACAAGCGTTTAGAATATTCTATGGGTTCCTTGACAATTGTCTCTTCGTACAACCTTCTAGACTTACGGAGGGTCGAGGCACAGGTATTCCGAGCTTTTTGATACTGAGATTTTGTCTCATCAGTCCCCATTAACCTAAATCTATCCCACATTTTTCTTCTCTTACGGAGAAGAATGCGGACCTCCTTACTGAACCATGGTGAAGAGTTTCTCGGCCCCCTTGGTGTGGTTCAAGTGATGTGGGATGCAATAACTTTTAAGTATAAATTTCGAAATACGTCCCAAGCAGTTTCAATTGAGGACTCTGGGTCTATTATCCAATCTACTAACGATGCTGAGTGCATGATATCAGGTATGTTTACTTTCCACACGTTAGGTCTGGATTGAGCTGGCGCGTGCATTCCTAATGAATAGAGCTACTCCCCCTCCTTTACGCTTTTGGATTCTGTCGGTTCTTACTAACGTGAAACACTAAAAATTAAGTTCCATACTTTTTAAAGGCTGCGTCAACCACATTTCTGTGACTGCGATTATATCTGAGTTGGTAGAGTCACTCTGTACACCTAGTTTCGACAGCTTATTCAGCAAGCTTCGGGCATTTGTGTAACAGATCTGAAGTTTATTTAAATGGCTTTGTGCTGCACCCAGAGTGGCTTCGGCATCATTCTCTGTCGAAGCCTCACAACCCGAAAATTTACCATTTTTAGGTCCGTTTCGCCAGCGTCTAACCTATGTTGTAGTTCTTTTTTTGGCTTCCCGTCTTTTTACACAGTCTGCCAGCGGCAAGTCCCTACGGACAAAAGCTCCTGAACCCTTTAATTTATGTTCATTCCGTAAAATTAAGTCCCGCTTATTAGAAGATTTGTATACAGCTTTAGGCAGCCTGGTTTGATTTGGTTTTAAGTTCGCTTGACTACCTAGTCTATACACCTTTAGCAAAATGACTCTGGAGATACTTTGAGGTGTAAGTTGATTTAGTAGCTGTTTTATCAACCCATTGTCGTGCTCAAAGCGCGCTTAAGTTTCAGAGCTTTCACTCTCCGTGATTCTATGAAAAATAACTGACCTGTCACTGTGATTAGTCTTCAATTTCTCGACTACTTTTGGAGGGTAGGATTTTCTTTTATATCGTTATGTCGTTTCTCGCCTACGACCTGTAACCATTTGTCAACTTTCGTTGAAGTAGCAACCACAGTCGCGTCAAACATACTGTGGGATTCTGGAGGGTTATCGATGACTTTGGAAGTCAGGTTGTGTTTCCTTCTAGAAACAGATAGAGCCTTGCGATTGCGATTTTTAGGTGTTTCCTGCCTGACACTATTTAGAGGACAGGGGAAAGAGGAAAATTCTTTTCTTGAGTTTTCAATCAAGACAGACCACTTTGAAGACGGTATTTCCTCCTTTGATCGACGTGAGTCAGCTGTTTCCGGGCTCACTTGAGGCGGCTTCACACCAATCTGTGTCGACAGTGCGAGTGCTGTCCGATATGTCCCGACCTCGCTTGCTAAAACACTTTTTTGCATCATTTGCCATTGACATGGCCTCGGTTAGCAAGCTGTTTGCATCCGAACAGCACTGGTGACAAAGCTATACTCAACCGTTTTTATTAAACCGTTTGAAAGCCGCAGGCGTCAAATTCGTGCACACTTTGTGGTACCAGCCTTTGCACTCATCGCACCGCATGCCACTTTCAACGAGATCTCGATAGCCCAGACGTTGGCAATTGCTTTTCTTGCACTGTTCAGTCATTGGACAGAAGTTTTTAAAAAGAAACTAGATACAATAGTACCCAGAGACAAAAGTGATCTATGACCAAAAATGGTGGAAAACTGTAAATTATTAGAACCAAAGTAACAACAAATACAATAGAAAATAAAGTACTCAAAAGTACCGATGATAAACTACTTTAAAAACAAAAACAATTCTCTTATCGGATACTTTAACTGAAATAAGTTAAATTAAAGTATAAAGAGTAGTCTTGATACGTAATAAACGATCGAAACAATAGAATTTACTCAGCGAGGAAAAATTCCACTGTCCTTTAAAATAGCGCGCGCAAAGATGCGACAGGCGGTCAGAGTTTGACAACGCCTTTATTCGCAGCACCTTGACAACGGAAGCACATTAACCTAGTCAAATTGGAAGTCAGAAATGAAGGGGTTTGAAGACATATTTAAAAAGATATCGGTATGTCGAGAAGCGTTTGATCTAAGCTGGATAGCAGCTGCAAGGGATGCATAGTACGGTTCACCCAATCGTAATCGGGTTCGGATGAGTGAGTGAGAGCCTACAGCTAAGTTGTGCACTATAAACCCAATGAGATCAGCATCAACGTCGAAGACTTACAAAATTATTTACTATGGGGGCTTATTCACCTCCACACGCTCATATCAATCAGAGAGTCTCAGGACATACTTCCGTAGTTTTTCAACCTAATCAAAGCACATATTCAGCCTTCTGAAATTAAGTTCAAAGTAGCTCACACAATTTATTTACCGCCACAATCCAAACACAAAAGGTTTGTAAATACTTAATTCAGTATTCTTTGTTAGACAGTCTCTTCATTTTTTCTTCACTACATTTTTGTTTTGAGTAAAACAACCGGTCATCAACCAGTAGTTTGTACAGTTCGATAAATGTTTTATATATATGCAACATGAAGTTAACCCAACTTATATATATATTATAATGCATAGTTTTTCGGAAAACTTTTTTTTAAAGCAAAGAAATCTTGGACCTGGTCGGTATAACCTACCAAGAGAAATTCAGACGAAGGGAACCTCAGAATCTATAGGACCCATAAATACAACTGCGGATCGCTTTTCGGAACTCAGAGGAGTAAACATCAAGCCTTTTAAAATTACTTTTATGAATTCTTTACTCAGAATGATACTCCAGGAGTGGGTACTTATGGAATGAAAGGTGATCCATATCTTTATAAAGAATTAATGGACGCGAAACACAAATCATGTTGCACAAAAGGCTTATTAGAATGTGGTGGGGATGGAAGTCGTTCTTTACCGTTGACAGTAATTTAATTGATGGTTCAAACTAATATTTATCAATAAGGGGTGTAATGTTGCACCAGGTACCTACGAAATCAGTGGTTCGGTACAGAAACTACTGGATAAAAAAACCGGGAAACGCGGACCTTATGATTTGATGACTGGACCGAGAAGCTTTACTTATGTGAGAAAAAGTTTTGATATTGTATTTCAAATATTTACTTATATTCCTATCGGAATTTTGTTTGCTGAAATTAGACTTATCTAGTATTTTTCACCTCATGACTGATACTTTGATTATATTTGTCCATCTGCTAAGATGGGATTATTATTCTCCCTATTTTCACTCATTTTTGTTTTGCCTGATCTAGATAGTTGAGGGAAACAAAACTACCTAGCATTCGTCACAAACAATTGGGAAGTTAACCATAAAATGAAAATTAATTAGACTGGACAATATTGAAAAATAGTTTGTTCGAAATTTGTTATCCTTATTCAAGCATATATATACGTAATACAATAAACAGATATAGAAAGATAACTATTTTGTTGACCGGCAACAATGCCTTTACCACGATTATTTCATGTCCTTTGTGTAGAAATGTTCTGAAGATTAAATGTAGAAAATAGCCTATTGGAAAAAGCAGATAGGAGCGAAAATGTATAGACAAGTTAGCTTAAAGAAATATGACTCTAGCTAACTTTGAAGTTAAACAGAGTATGAAGCATCAAGCTTACTTACTTTTGCCTTCTATTTTTCACAACTCAGTTGTTTTATCCCTCAACAACTTTTCAGACTTCTGAATACCCAGAACCAGGAACCTATTCATTAACATCATTTACATCCAATCTTTTGCGACCAGAAAAAAAGTATACAGGGATGTTTCGTAGACTTGTTGTTGACCAAAGAAAAATGGATCATTGCTATTCTGCTAGGATGCAAAACGACCTCGTAAAATCTAAGGTAAGACTAATGTGCTTGGTAAATTCTTTTAGTTTTCCAGTAGTTAGTATAATTTCTTAATTGAATAATGAGCAATGAAAATGTATTCAAAATATGAACATCCTAAATAAAACATTATCCTCCCAAATAACCGCACCGTATTCAATAAAACTAACATGTTTATGATCTAGTTTACCGTGAAACCACGTGATGCTTTTAATCACATTAAGTTAGTTTACTGAAGAAGGTTCAGCAATTCAAAAGATTATAACAAAGTCACGAAACTTCAACCATTCATCACTTATCAACTTTCTTTACTTAATTGATCATTGCCCAAAAAACGTAAAATTCACATGTATGCCATGCAAAATTTAGGCAACAACGTAGTGATATTCATACTAAACAAGAGGATTACTAAGTCAAATAGGAAATATAATACTTGAATTTTGAGCTAGCCTACTTGTTATAGCATTTTCCCCATGATCACGTTTTATAAATATCACGAACCAATAATGACATGTGGTTATGTTTGTTGGGTTTCGCTTTATTTTTTTAAAGATAGGACCAGGATATTATGATCCCAAATATCTAGATGACAAGGATAAAAGCTTTAATCATCAAGCTCCTCCATTTTTGTCCAGCGCCCCTCGTAATTCACACTCAATATTTACCAGTAGACAGGTAATTGTTTTTTATTGAACTGATTCCTTTACATATTTTAAGGAAAAAAACAAACTTCCTTTCAAACATCGGACACTAAATAAAAACTGTTACATTCTTTTTATAGTCTGCTTATTTTTGTACTGGTGTATCAGCGTAAATTTGCAGGTAATTGGCTCGCAGTATTTGAACAGATAATCAAACGGAACTTCTTGTTTCTCTTGTGACTTACAGTATCGAATTTTGATACTGATATACAACCTTCTTATGTATAGGCTCAACCGGCTATCTGGGCGAAAACACTGAGAATGAGAAAGAAGTTCGCTGGTCAAACAGAAATTGGTATATATATATATATATATATATATATATATATATATATATATATATATATATATATATATATATATATATATATATATATAGTGTAATAAATATCTTAACAGAAGATTCATCTGTGCCTTGAGTATAGTTAAGTAAAGCTCCTATTTAGTAGATATATAGTTGATATTTGATAAAAGCCTCAAATATATAAATTTCTGTACAGGTGATATCAACCATTTTAATAAGGCACATAGTTTCAGAAAATAATTATAACCTGTTAAAATTATAACCTATAGGCTATTGAACGGTATTTAACTAGTCTGTAACTAAAAAACAATTTCTTTGTTTCCTACTAAACATTAGAAAACTGTAGATCAGTATTGACGGACTCAACATTTAAATAAGTTCATGTTAATTATTGTACCTGAAAGCTCTGGGTGTAATCGGTATTCCTGAAACTTCATGGATAAGGACTTGCAATATGAGTCAAAGTGACTGATTATTTAAAATTCCTTTTCAGTGGTTTCTTCCTGACGTTGTTATACGATAAACGTAACTCAAATTATCAAGTAATGGGTTACGCATATTGAAATAGGTTGCAATGAATATATCTGTAGAAATAAGAAGCTATGAATTCATCAGTTGATTGTATGCGGTAAGCTATTATACAGCATGAAAAAACTACTCATAAAATGACCACTCAGATTAATAATTTACTGATGAGCAATGATAATTATCAAGAATGAGTTTAAAGTTTCCGTATTCACTGTTTGAAGTGATCCATAGTTATTTTCCTTAAACCTAAAGTGTCTTTCAACACTAAATTCTTCCCAAACTGGTACTGTATTGTTAACTGAAGATCATTTTCTTTTCAATTTATTATTACCTGAATCTTTAGAATATAACTTCATTGAGTGATAGATAGTCATTTTTTCTAACCTATAAATATACTTGGGGTTGTATTTCACTTATATAGGTTAATCAAGTTATAAAGATAAATGTCTGCTACCTATTAAATGAATAAGTGTAATTCGATATTGTAAAAAAACGTTATTATCTTCCTACTCCAGAGTCCAGTTGGTCCTGGACGTTACAATTCAGAAAATTATGATCGGTCACGGTGTGTATGGGGTGCTATGTGTTCATTTGACTCTACTTCATCAGCACGTTTAAGTCTAAAAGAAGCTTCAAAATTAAGGTAGTTGACAATTTTTTTTCAAAATTTATGATTTATTTCCATTATGAAATCATTCACCAACACGAATATGTGACTATTAACCAATAAGAAGGAAATATATAAGATATACATCGACAATTTTGATAAAATAAGAATAATATCTAATTTACCCATGACCTGAATCTATGGACTTAAAAATGATATCGAGAAATTATTAACCACTGTAATCATAGAAGCTTGTTAACGTCTATATACCATCGCATAATTTTATTTATTTATCTCAACAAATCAATCAATATATTGTGACAGATACTATAAAAATACTTTATTTTATAATCATGGAAATAAAGTTTCTTAGAAACTTAGATAAACGTCAAAAGATTTTTTGATAAACAAGAAATTATACTTTAACGTTTAAATATTTAGATACATTACATACTAGTTTTCAGTTGTCATCTACACATTCATGCTATATGTACCGTCAATGACAATCTTGATTTATTTACTCATAAAAATATCCTCATAATTTTTGTTGACTTTCAGCTGTTACTTATATTATTAAAAACGATGTATGTCTGTCTAATTGGCAAGTTGACTGCTTGTGGTTTATTGCTGAAATATAAGTCTAGCCTTTCCCACAATTTATGATTTGTTAAATAGACATATGAAATTAAAATGACCCAAAATATCATATCAGTTAGATTTTATTGCACTGAGACAGCACAGAAAAAGATCTTCATGAATAGGAAACGATGAATTATATTTAGAATAATAGAATTTAATAAATTAAAAATGAAGACTGAATAGATTTGATTGCTACTCACAGTCACTTTGTGATATAATACAATGTTTTTGTCCATAATATTCAGAGGGATCTACCAAGCATTCTAAACAATTCCACAAAACAGTCGAATCTATCCTAATGTACAGTGTTATATATAACATACAGAAAGCAAGTAGAAAAGCAATCAATATAGAGATAATCAGTATACGCTTGTGGAGATTGTTGAGTTCTAAATGCGATCATTAACTGATTAATGTTAAGACACCATTGAAGTTAGACATTAACACCGTTGGATGACATCTCAGTGGTCTAAAGGTTATGCCTGAATCCGGTGTGCGGGATTGTGGGTACTCACTGCTGAGGAGTCCCATATTAGGACAAAACGGCTATCCAGTGCTTCCAGGTGGTCCAACATGTATCAGTTCATTATCTCAATTAAAGTAGAGATTATCTGAAAGTTTAATTAAAGTTATTGACAAAATTTGAAAGTAGCAATTCACGAATGTAAACTATTAGTATGAGTGAAAATCTATTTCAGGTATTCAATAATTTATATAGATCTGCAATTAAACTTATGTCTTAATTTTCATAAACTCAACTGTCCGTCTGTATTCCATTATTTCTTAGAGAGAGATTACGTCCACTCAATGTAACATTTCATGAAAAGTCACTCATCAAAAACAACAACAGGCCACGTGCTATTCCACTGATTGCTTAATTGTCAAAGCTACAAATGGAAGTAACACACATTTTAAATTGTTATATTACATACTGCACTGTTTTCATCAACATAAAATAAATAAATAAACGAATCATATTCCGAAAATCATTGCAGAAAATATGCTTATATTTAATCATTGTAATGATCATTTTTATACTTGTAGATTATACACCGATAATCACGTTTCATAGTAATAACTTTAGTTCATTGTTTACTGTTATTATTATTATTATACATGATAACCATGACAGTCTGAAATAAATCACAACATACTTTAGTTGCTTCATTTATTATTGGTGACTTCATGAATAATGTGTTTTCACCCAGCCTCTTTTGAATGCTCGAATGAGCATTCTTGACCACATATATATTTGATTTAGACTTTTAAAGTTTTCCAAACATGTTTATCTAATTTTCATGGGTGTTTACATCATATTGAAATAAATTTTATTGAACGTTTGAATTAGATTATTTTTTTACCAATAGTTTCGTGTTAGTTTATAACGCTAACATGAAGCATAGGTCTGCAATGTTAAATAAAGTTGTAGGCAAGCAAATGATCTACTCAGTAATTGCAAATATGTAATAATTTGTATCAATTTTAAACTATGATTTCACGTCATATGTGTTTCATGACGTAAATATTAGGATCTGATTTCCAATAGTATCCTATATGAAATCAGTATGTAATGAATACAACGTTCAAATATTATAATCACTATTTCTATTATTACTAAAGAGATCATTTTAATATGGTAAAAAATAAGTTAGTATGTGACTTAGTAAATTTATGGAGAAACATTTTCACTTTACTTGCACATAATGTTCAGCACAAATTAGGATAAAATGTACTTTGAATATTAATAATACACGAAATAAGTCAGATTGATATATTTATGATGAACGATGATAGTAAAAGGTCTTTGTCTATCCAATAAGTGAGTTGTATATTTGTATTGACACGTTATAAAGTGGGCTGATTATGCAATATATAGAAATCAATGGTAATGATTAGTTTTAGTACTGTACTACGTACGAGAGTGTTGACATGATAAGCCTTCGATCTTTTTCTGATTACAACGAAACCTTATAGTTCGTGAGTTACCGCAATAATAAATGGTTTCATTCTATGAAAACGATGTTTGTTATTTTAAGCCATGTAATAATCTATAACTTCCTGTTTGAAACCCATTTATAACCATAATTTGTAGCTAGAGATCTAGGGTAACATAATTTGAAACTGAATGCAGTAATATAGAAGATTACGCTCTTTGTTTGTTTACAGGTAAAAAGTTTTAGTACTACCTCACACTTTCTATCTTTTAACTTCATGTACACTTTTCGAACCATATTTTCTATTTTTCACTACTATTAGTTTTGCTAATATTATTCCACTATTTTTTATTGTCATCTTATTTTTATCACCTCAGTCTTCACAGCAAATGCTGTAACCATGATCCAATACACATTTTTTACAGTGTCCCATATAATTTATGAATGATCAATTGATTAAATTTCTTAAATATATTTGTTTCGATCAGTTAATTGTTGACTAGAGAAACAAATATGTTACTAAATAAGTGTGATAGTAACAACTGGCTTTTTTATGGGAATTTATGTAGTTACTTATCATGAATTCTTATTCTTTGTACATTATTTCAGTGAATAAAAGTTATGCTGAGATATTGTTCGACGTGATTTTCGACACCCCATAAAGAAGAAAATTTCAAACAAAGAAATTGTCATAAAGAATGTTTAATTTAATAATAATACTAATAATAGAATATAACAGTCTCAAGGTCATATTATTAATGAAAAACTAAATATATATGGATAAACTAAGATTAGAACGAATAATCTAATCATTTTATAAATAAATTATTCAACAGTCCAATATGAGAAAGCTTATTTTTCTTGTTTTGAAATATTGCACAAACTTCCGAGTACGTAAAATATTAGTTTGATTAAGTTCACTAAAACAAATAAAGGAAAACAAATTATCATAAATAAACGAAATTAATTTTTTTTAAAAACACATTTGATTTTGTTATTAATAAATAGATATTTCAAATTACAAGCCATGTCTACAATAAGATTACGTACATTGTATATAATGCAAATTCAAAGCTGCGTAGATGTCTAGTTTCATATTATAACAATGATCCTGAATTATCTTTATCCAATAATATAAATCTAACAGTTCATTAAGTCTTTTTAATTCAAACTATTTAGTTTTAAAATATTCTGAAAAAAATTTCGGCGACACTTTAATTTAGGGACAACCTTTGAACGAATCTTAAATGACCTTGACAATTATTAGCCAATCAGGAGACAGTGACTATAAAGTGAAAATATATTGTATGTAATGAATTACAGTGGATATTCTTCTTTTACACGATTTAAAAACTTGTTAAGGTTTGATAAAGGTTCAGAGGTTCTGAATTCATAATGCATATGGTATAGAAACTCGTCCATACGATTAGGGTTTAGGTTATGGTTGTAGCATCTCAATAAACCTAACCTTAACCCTAATCTTAAACCTAACCCTAGCCTCTAACCCTAACCCTATGGACGAGTTTCTATACCATATGCATTATGAATTCAGAACTTCTGAGCCTTTATCAAACCTTAACAAGTTTTTAAATCAGGTAAAAGAAGAATATCTACTGTAATTCATTACTTTCTTGTAATATATTTTTACTTTATATTGTCTTCTGATTGGCTAATAATTGAAATTCCTCAAGCGCTTCTGATTGGCTCGTCCCTAAATTAGAGTCTCGCCAAAATTTCTTCACTAAAGGCTTTGAATTGGTAAAACCAACATATGAACTATCTAGTGATTACTTTTTTTAAAACTATTATATCTTTTCTCAAATCCAAAATAAAAAGTAGGTTAAAACTACGAATTTTTAAGAATGTCATTATATCCATGATTCACTTACACGTAAACGTGAATCAGTCTGATAAATAATTCCAACAAGCACAGTCTTATTTTTTTAGATGAGATTGATTGAGAAATCACTGGGAAACGTCTAGAACAACAGTGTTTGTAGCTGCACTATATTAATATTAATTAAGTGAATAACCAAAATTTATGATTACTTAGGTTTTAATGATGGAGATATTGTGTATTAGTATCAGAAGGGGTTTTGTGGAGATTGTAGTAATAATAATCATCTGCCCATTAGTGACTGACTTCAAGAGACACTCCTGGAGTTCTCGTGAGAAGCCGTGAGCAGTGGGGTTCAATCAGGTCTGTTGTGAGATATCAGCTCACTGAAGACAATGATATATGGTGGCGCAACTACGTGGATAGGTTGAAGTTAGACAATAACACCGTTGAATGCCGGCTCAGTGGTTTAATGGTTTTGGTCTTGGGTACGAACACTTTTTACCCTCATGCCGTTATGAGTAGACGAGTAGTACAATTAGTTCTCATGCAAAACACAGTAGCTCAGATCAAAGTACATAGACCTATAGGTTACAGAATAGGTTTATGAAGCAAGTTAACTGTCAATTGAAATTAAACTTAGTTTGAAGATGAAAATATTGTAAATAAGATTTCTAACTCAAACAATAATATAGCAAAATTGTGAGTTTAACTTTTAGAATGTGATAAGTGTTACGTTTTGTTTCTTCTACTTCCGTTTCCCAGACTTGAGCTTGAAAACCATTAACAAAGCTAGCTGTCGATCAATCAGCACACTTTCGTATGTAGTTAAAAATTGGAATTTAATTTCCAACTACTTAGGGCATAGTATTCTTGTGTCAAAAACAAGCTACTAATAATAAAATAACCCATTGCATCCTTAAATAAAGAGTATTCAGCGAGGAAAATTTCCTCTTCCACGTAATCATTTACTCAATGTGCAATTCAGTTGCAATGGGTTCACTGTTAGGTCCGCTCTTGGTTGACTGTTTTACGGCCAATCTGTAAAATAAGGTACTTCGATCAATAATTGTAAGATTTTTGTTTATATAAAAGATACATGGATGGTACTTTCACTATTTGTGAGAAAGATATAGACCTCAATGAAATTTTGAATCGTTTCAATAATTTTCACCCCTCAAATCAATACATGTTGTAAGCAGAGACGAACGAAGAATTGCACTTTCTTGATGTCCGGTTGAAAAGGTCAGATGTTTTTTACAGGGATTTATATATAGAAAAACCAACTCGGAATGGGCAGTGCACGAATTTCCATACCTGGGTCCCACTGAGTGCAAAGAGGAACCTAATTCACTCTTGAACCTCAAGCATCAGGCGAATATATTCTACTGACACAATAGATGATGAACTATTTCAACTTCGACAGACACTTATCAAGAGTTGTTATCCACCCATATTCATCGATAGGCACTTAACACTTAGTCAACACCCTGAAAAGGCACCAACTCTTTTTATGAATATTGAATTTAAAGGAGATACAGCTGCCGAAATCTTGAATAAACGGATTTGAAAATCCCTGAACAAAACCTACTCAGCTAAGCTCCGCATTCACTTCTGAATTTGATCTGCCATTCATAGATATGTTGAGGATAAACTTCCGCTTTGGGTCACGTCGATTTGCATCTATAAATTTATTTGCTCCTGTGGGATAGGTTATATTGACCTCATAAAGCGATCGCTTTTTAAACCCATTCCAGAATATTGCCTGGCATGGCTTTTAAAAGAATGCAAAACAGTTGCCAGTTCAATACAGGAGCATTCAATCAACGTTGGACAAGTCACTCCGAAGTCCTCCTTTAAAATAATCTACACAATCAAAGGAACTGGAGTGAAGGGAGGTCAAATCAAAACTGCCGTGGTCTTGGCGATCCACCAATTCAAGCCCGAACTCTGCGTGCAAAAACGATACGTCCAACCTCTCATCCTTCTCCGGTCCTAATTCCCTTCTGCAGTATGTTTTTTTATATTTTTTTATTAGCGTTTTGTAATATTAAACCGTAATCAGTTATTATTATCCTTTAATAACTTTTGATGATTGTCATTCAGTTATTATTATGACCTTTATGTTTTTCATTTTTCCTTCAAAATTTTGACCCGTAAATTGTTTTCGTCCTTCTATTCTTATTCAACCCCCTGATTATTACGTAACCTCATTTAATAATTGGAGTGTTGAATCACTTTATGATGCAATCTTTCCTATCCTCCTATAGATAAATATTTACCAAATATGAATATACAGCTTAAGTAAATGATTTCATTGAAAAAAAATTTTATATTCACCAAGCTACTAACCTATGAATTAATATTTGCTTATTTAACACATGTATTGTCAAATTAAAATCTTATAAAAGAAAAGCTAATTAATGAATTGTGCTGTTTATCGTATGTATGTATCCATCACTTTCACATTCTTATCAAAATGATAATAACTAATATCTTCGTACACAAAGTAACATATCTTCGTCGATAGAAACATTACAGAGATTATTAAGAAATATATTAGGGTAATCTCTAATTTTGAGAGTAAATACTTTCACTTAAAAGTATTTACTATCAGATGATAGAATTTTAGGAGTTTCAAATCTTCACTAAAAACGTTAAGGGGCTAGAGATTATATATCCAGTAAGCCTTAGATATAATTTATGTGATAGTTAAAACTCTAGCAGATAGTATTTACAGTCTAGAAGTAAATAAAGCTCCCCATGAGATTAGAAGTGTTACAATCAGAGACGTTATCAAATTTTTAATTAATTAATCGTTCTGGTTTTCATAACAAATGAGCACAAAAAGCTTACAGTTTTCTTTTCTAATGCAGTTGATAGATTAATGGAAGGAATTTTCATGTTAACTAGTTTGTGAACATCCTCTAATAATAATTTGAAATTATCAGCTGATGAAGATTTGTTAGCCCAAGATTTATACAGTTTCTACAAATGAAATAGGTTATCATAACCAAAAATACGGTTTGATTTTAATTACGTTAAATACAAAAAATCAAACATTATGACAATTATTAATATTCCAAACTGTATTAAAAGCATTCAGTTGTAAACTGAGTAAGATTCTGGAATATATTGTTAAACGTCCAATGTGATTTTTGTACAGACTACATAACACAAATCGACACCATCGGAGGGGTCGTTAAAATGTGATACTCACCAGGTAACTCAGTTAGTGTGAATCAATTCGTTATAATATGCTGTTTTTATAGACATGCATTGAAACTTTAATTATTTCAGTTTTCCACAGACAATTACCAAAGCGATATGTAAGTATGGTGTCTTGAGTTGTAAATAATTTACTAAACACTCAGGACTTTCTAAATCTCAACTTATGTTTTCCTCGTCTTGGGAATCTAAAAGACTCTACTGATGATAAAACCCTATCGTTCGCTGTTCGAACGTAGACAATTATGCATTTAAAACCTTAAAGACAATCGGTATACATAAAACTTATGTTCTTGTAATTTGCGTTTTTAGAAATAAATTATCTTACAACTACTGGGCTCGAGTCCCGGAGTGAACATCAACTCTGGGATTCAAGTACATCCGGCTGACGAGTCTCAAATAGGATGAAACGCGCGTTCTCGACTCCACTGCTAGCTACTTTCCATCTTTGCTTATGATGCTTGTGAATTAAGAGAATATCGAGGCAATACGCATAGTATACACATATACCAATAAGAGACTGATCAACTGTGGTTCGAAACATCAATGGGAAGATTCAAGCAAACAATTCCAAGTGAACTTACATCTAGTTGTTTATCTTTTTTCGAAAATGAATCCAATCCTCTCTGTAAAATAGTTAACTCTGTTTTTAATTTACTGATATCATCCAATTCTTCGACAGATAGGCGAGAATAACGTCTTGAAAGTAACGGTGCAGGTGAATAAACCTAGTCAAAAGTATTCAGAAAGTCATCCGAATTAATACTTTTTACTGAAAAATAAAACTATTTATTACTTTAGTAAGCAAACGACGCAACAAACACGTCTAGTAATGACGAGGAAATTCGGGCAATGAACAACTTAAGACACTAAAGAAATAACCTAATGTTCGCCTAATCCCTTATCATTAACCCATAAACAAGCCTTATCTGTAGTCCTTATAAAACTAAAACTTTAGTTATGAATTAAAGTAATCAAAAATAGAGAATTTCAAGCTCATCGGTTTAAGTTACACTATAATAACTGACTTCAGTAAATAAGGAATAAGTATAAATGACTATATGTACACGCTACTGACAACAGAAATAAATCACAATTTGTGGGAGCCCTGATATTTTTTCGTAAAAAAGTCCTTATGAATACTTAAGTATCCAAGTTAGAAAGATGTAAATAATGTCATATTATTGCTGGACAAATTACACTTTATTGTACAAAGTTACTTCATGATATAAAACTAGAAAATAGAATATTTAAGACAGTAAACAACAAAATAGCTATTTTTGTTTTTCAGAAATCAGATAAAAAATGAGTTACTAACCGCTGGTAATAAAGATTATAGAAAAATATTTCTGTTGAATGGATGAAAATTTGCATTTTCGTTGATTCAAAGACTATTTAACCTTCTTAATAAAGAGTGGTTCTATACCAATCACCACTATCTCATACTTGAAAAATAGTCGAAATGGTTTACTCTAACTTTCTGATACAAGTAAAATATGAGCAGTTAGTAACGTAAGAATGTTTAGCTAAAGAAAATATCTCAAATGATTAGTTGTATATTCGATTCATTGACGAGCCGGTTCTCAAACTAAACTACCAATTGCTTTCCTAAAATTCCCCTCAAATTTTCAAACGATGAGTGTGATCAAGTAAACATTTGATTGTTGATAACAGCTTACATAGTCTACATTTATCATTTTATAAATACTTACATATTTGCAGTTAACTCACAACTGCAGAACTAAACGCTTCTCTACACATAAAGCCACCAATTTTATAACAACTAAATATATATTCGTTAATTTAAAGATGAATATCTGTTCCTCCTAATCCAGAGACGTAGAGTATACAAAGTATAAGAGAAATTGTTGAACTTTTATTGATTTCCTAGTTGTTGCTATTTCTTGGTGAAATTCTACGTCAGATTAAACAAGATCTATACATAACTACCAGTATTTATCAAAACAGCAGTGTAAGTCAACTTTTTTAGTGTGAAGATGGATTAGGAATCTTAAAGATATGGATCAGATCAAAAATTCCATGTGATAACTTAAAAATGTAGGCAATATTATCAACTGATAATATCATTTTTGAACGATAACAACACATATACAGAACATTATAGAACATGCTCGTTAAATAGGACCAAATTATAGCAATAAGCTTCAGCTGAGTTCATTTACGCTTACCGGAAGACTAGTTTGAAAATGCATTCAAGCAAATATTCAAGTAATTTATGTTTTCAGTCATTTATTTGTGCAATATCAACTTAGATCAAAAAGGGTTTAATAAAAAAATCTCAATAAAATATTAATGAATAGCTTACATCGAACGTTTTTTTAACATCTTTTTCAAATTGTGAACGATAAATCATGAAACATATAAATTCTGAATGAAAATAGTCTAAATGTTCATGTGTAATTTGATCTATTGAATATAAACGTGTATGTAATTTATTAGATTCCATCTTGGCTGCTGTTAATTCCGATTCTTTAAATATACGGTAATACACTGTATATTTGTGTTTATTCTGTTCTGAGTCATATAAATTCAGCGAACCTAATATTATCTGTTGGGAAAAAAACATATGAAAGACTTTATTTTAAAAAAAAAGGACAAATTAGCCAGGCTTACGTAAACATCTAGGTTACTATTTTGTCCAGGTGTAAAAAAATTTCAACACAGTAATCATGTTTCATATTTATTTTAACCAGTAATATTATTTGTCAACGACACTATAATGAAAAAAGCCCATAAGTTCTTGTGTATATCTCGTGTGATACAGTTAAACTGCTTCATTTCATGACTTAAACAGATCACTGACTTGAACCAAATCTGCAGTTTCGAATCACAGACTGACTTTGGTTGGACAACCTTTGTAAGTCTGGAAGCACTGAACAAGTGATTCGTTCTACTATTGAACCGTTCAACTGTTCCCAACCATCACACCATAGGGGATCAATCTGAGAATTGTCAGGTCTCCAGTTGACAGCCTAACATTCGGTCTACTGGATTGGCAATTAGTTGTCCTAATTTCTATCTTCAGTTAGTTTGCTTTATCACGTGAACATTATCCGTTTCCATGAGATTTTGAAAGAATGGCTTATCGAGGTTCTTCACTTACGTTGTGGTCGTTTAGTTAGGATGATGCACACTAAGTGAAAATTCTTATTTCTTGTCATCGTTTAATGAGCAAATATTAAAACAGCTTCAATAAATTGATCCTCTTAAATCTGTAAGTGAAGTAACTGACAAATATTAAATAAGTGCTTGGTTTATATTGTATTGTTTCTTTTTTTTGAGAAATAATGCTCTAGAAACCAAATTCAACTGTTAAAGTGTGACGAAATTCTATCCTAGTCGTAACTGGTTTGGTCCCATTTTTGCTATTTTTAATGGTAATCATACAGTGCATTAAAAATAATGAATCTTACGCTTGTAAAATTTTCACATTATTCCAACCTTAAATTTAAGTGGTTATATTTTTGAGCTTAGTCACTAGATAAGATCATCATAATATATTATCACTGGGAATAGACTTCAGTCTTAACTTGTCTGTCTGTACAGATCACAGTTTCTTAGTGGACTTTTGAGATATCCGTCCTAAAACAAGATAAAGAACAAAGTCTAAAGTTATTTAATTGCTGTGAAGAATGAGAATTTTTGGTATGTCAATTTAAGTGTCAAATAAATGTTTAACGATGCATTAAAATTCTGTTTATGTAATTGAAACATTTACAACATGTAATGAATTCATATATGCTTCCATAAATTAACCTGTGTAGTTATTTTGTAACGATATAGTCTATCCTGATAAGTAATATAATGTTCTAATGATTGGTTACGGGCTGATGCTTACCTTGAAACTGTAAGGCTTCCCAATTAATTCTCTAGGATCTTCGATAAACGTTACGTCATCCTTTTTGTTAGAAGAGGCATTATTTGATGGTACCGCAGACTTTGAATTAGACGCTGAACAAGGTATCAATTTTATATTAATAGTTCCCAACTCATCACCAATAAAATCCATAATTTTTAATTCTTCATCCACATCAAGTCGATAAGCTAATGCGCGAAGAAACGCTGGTGCTATACCAATAAATAAATCTTCTAATGGTTCCCAAAATGGATCAGATTCTTGTAAATAATCCTCTAGTTGTTTACTCAAACTTTTTTGATACATATCCTATTACAAGTTAGAAAAAAAACAAAATGTCACCTTATGTTTATGTCACTTTGACCAAGATAAAATTAAGTCACTAGAGCTAAACTAAGAAATATTTATTTTCAAGTAATTCTTCATTAAGAGTGAACATTATTATACCAGTGATTGTAATCCCTGACATCTATTCATAAAAAATTATGAAATTGATTAAAATATTTACAAATGAATGAATGGACTATCTGACTATCAAAATATGAGCACAGCGACTGTCAGTTAGAATGCTATGGTGGTTAGAAGTTTAAATTTCCTAACTCCTTTGTAATCTACTCATTTTATTGGTTATTTGCTTGTGTCCTTGTTTAAGACGTTGAACCGATGAGATGACTCTTTTCTAGTTGAGTGGGATCTGAAAACTTTTACCAACTTTAATAGCAACTTTGTCTACAATAGTGCAGATCTAATAATTGCATTGGTGGCATTAAATGTAAGCTATTATCCTAGCATATCATTACCTTTTCAACATAGTAATGACAGACTAAGTAATTAGAAGTTGTGCATTTGATGTACTGTAATATTTGTAGAAAAATGCATGACTTAACAAAAAGACTATGATCGCTTTCCAATAAATGTTTTTTTAAATGCTCTAGACGAGGATAAATTGGATGCATATAACTGAGTTATGCATAGTCTGCGATTACTAAATTTTTAGGGTGTGAGTTTGTGATTTGTTTCATTACCTCGCCTATTCCTCTTAGACCAATCATAAACACACTTCCAAAAATCTAGTGAAGAGCCTACCTTTTGTTCAATAAATGGTGTTTATTCACATTACACCAGTCTATTTGGAACAATGAGGCTGATAAACTGTTTGTAAGCGTTGGACTGTTCATGAGAGTAGCTCATAGTTTCGTCGTTTGACGGAAAGGTATCTAAGATGCATCTATTCTCTATGTTTCTGGAGTTGCTGTCATCGCTGTAACCGAATTTATATGTGCAAATTACGGACAGAAAATCCTACAGGATGTCTGCATGATGTATCGCCAGATGCTTATGGGATCAAAATAATCATTGTTGTTTAAATTTCGTTATCACTTAAGTAATGGGTTTAGAGTGGCAAAATTTGTCATTGATGTTTAAAGATATAAATAAATAGCCATGGTAACCTTATGCAAGCGGTACATTTAACTAACGCTAAACGTTAAATGGGTCTAATGTTGGTGAATGATTGATGGTTTACATTTTCGTAAATGAGTAACAATTTAAGGAAAATGAGAGTAAAATATTTCATTACCATTGAAGTCACTTATCTAAATTGTATAATCGTGTTTATAACTACGTTTTACAAATAGTTTTCCACAGTAAAATAGAGGGATGTTGTGTTATTTTTAAGATTTATCAATAATGATACTTAAAAATCGAATTGGATAGTTTGCAAATAAATAAGATGCTGCATATTTTTCCAAACGTATCAGCAGTAACGTAGTATTGTATCATTAATAGTTCATAGATAGGAAGGAAGCTGTATGTAATGACCCAGAAATCGGATAATCATAATAATTATGAAAGAATGATAGAGGATTATGAAACGATGCATTTTCTGAGGAAGAAAATATGAAAGAACGTCTTGACAATGTTAAAATCAGAGACTGTGCACGTAATTTTATTCCCTTTTACCATGATATCATACTGTTTTTGAATACATAAAGGGAGTTTGAATTTTCGTATGGCTAAGGCTTCAATAAACCTTAGCATATGCCCTTTTACACTTGTATACGACACAACGAAAGTCGAGTTAAGATCAATTTTATGGCCTGTTTAGATTATATATTTAGCAATAAAGGACGATGGATGTTTATCCTCTACTCTTATTGAGTCACTTGAATGTATTTGTTTCTGCAACCATTTTGGTACATATTCACACACCCTAATTTGGAGATCACAACTGCTCCTCCCTATGTATGTGTGACCACACACACATTTAAATTAGTGAACACAGTAGGATGTGACACAATCGTTTTCATGTATTTTAGGTTCTTATAATAATAATCTGCTCACTAGTGACTGACTTCAAGAGACACTCCTGGAGTTCTAGTGAGAAGCCGTGAGCAGTGGGGTTCAACCTGGTCTGTTGTAAGATATCAGCTCACTGAAGACAATGGTGACGGTGGCGCGATTTCATGGATTGTTTGAAGTTAGACATTAACACCGTTGAATGCCAGCTCAGTGGTCTAATGGTTAAGCGCTCGCGCGCGAGACTAGTAGGTCCTGGATTCGAATCTCGCGGGGAGAGGGAGGGATCGTGGATGCGCACTGCTAAGGAGCCACATACTAGGACGAAACGGCCATCCAGTGCTTCCAGGTTTTCCATGGTGGTCTAGCTTCAATTGACTCATGGTTCCAACTATTGCAATGGACTAACTTCTTTAAACTGAAACCGTTTTTCATTAGATCCCTGTTTTCTGTAGATGAAAAGTAGACTTTACTAAATAATCAGATAACCTAGTGTTAGAAAGAAGTAGACACTCATCTTCATAACAATAAACTTTCCTAAGATATAAGTTAAATTATAGACAACCTTAATGAGCTATAAACATTTATTAAATATCAGTCACTATGTTAATATAAATTTAATGTACAAAATTATTTATCGAATTGCATCATCTTTTAGACAAAACATAAGCAATAGGTATGTACATAAGCAAACTTATTCTTTGTGTTCAGAAAACGTTTATTCATCCTCTTAATTTATCATATGCTTTTTTTAGTTACTATTGTTTTTCTCAATGAAAAAATTAATTTCATATCTATTCATTTTTAGTTTAAAACTTCGACCTACATAATCTACTTACCTGATTACCTAATGTTCTTTGTGCCCGTTCTATTAGTTACATATGATTAATTTTACAGTTAACAATAAAGTTATATCCAATTGCCTGATTTTGAACTTACTGACTTCTTATTTGTATCCAGTTAGTTGTTATAATTAACCTGTTATTTAATCCTATCGTTATATCTAATTTAAAATCCGTTAAGGTTCAGACCTAATACTGTTTTAGAGTAAATATTGAGATGAATTGTTACACTAACCAAGAGTCATTTATTTAGTGTTGATTTTATTCTTAACTGTTCGAAACCTAAATATTCGTGTAAACCCTTGAAGAGAAGTTAATTGACAAGTAATATTTCTTTGCCCAGCTTGTATTTTTAATGTCTTGATGTAAATATATAACAGATTAAATGCTGGATGGTTGATAAATTCGTAATTGATCATGTTGTCTATCAATGAGGTAAGATATCACTTGAATATCTGATCTGGAATTAGTGTTTACAAAACATTTAATATGAATATTTGTTCAACATATTTTCATAAACAATACCTTCAGAAACGGCATCAAATTCATTTTCTATTTATTAATATGAAAACTCCACTAATTATTTTCTGTTAGTTAGTTTATTTAATGTAACTATCTTGAAAATGACTTACAAATTAAGACTTATGCATAATTGATGTATTTAGCCCTGATAGTACATAGAATCCTTACAGTTTTGCTAACCTGATACTATAATGGTTTCTTATCTAAAATAATTTACTGAATTTTTGATAGTGACTAAATAATTTTAACTTTAGAAATAGATATTGTATACCCAAAAAGGAGGCTTTATAAGCAACATGTCCTCTTCAAGCTTATTTAATTGTAAGTCATAACAGAGGGAAAATATTAAAGTACAAAAAAACAAATGTGATTACCACTCTGGATAGTAAATCAGTACTACCAGGGTAGGTTAAGTGTAAGTACAAATTGTTTTTGAACACATAAAGGGGGTTTCAATTTCCGTATAGCCAAGGCTTCAATAAACCTTAGTATTATTTATTTAATTGTACTATGATGTCATCGATTGGTTTCATTTTCTTATATAACCAACGTGAATTCTAAGCTTTAGTATAATTTACATAATAAGTATGCGGACGTCAAAATCAAGTTCTGAAATATCTAAGAATGCTTTACTACTGGAAAAAATTACAATTTACATGGACTGGAATTATAATGTATTCCTTTACTCAGTTAGAACGTATCGTAATAGTAATATGTACGGTAATCTTTCATTTACAGATAACTGTGATCGAATAAGCATTTAGTCAAATAAAGACGACTTGCAATTACAAATTTCTAGTTAGTAAATACAATTTAATGTTGATTACATTTTATTAATCAAATTCCAGTTGTGAAAATCTTTTTCATATGCTGTGTATAGTGTATCATTGTTTTTTTACGGACAATGCATGACTAAATTGCACTCTCTTAACGAGAAAAAATAATTTTAGATAGTGATACACGGGATCAATTAGACATGGAACAAAGATATGCACATACAATTGACTAAGATATTGATACACACTAGTGATTCATAATATGGTTTTACTTTGAACGTATATTTATTCTCGACTCAGTTTTAGCCAAGCAACCCTTATTCTCACTCTCGTCCCTTTTTACTCAAGTAGATGATTTTGGATCTTATATCAGCATATCATTAGCATAAACGGATGACAGTACAACCTAACAGTTAAATATTTCTAAAATACTTATATTCTTTACTCCTTACCTGCATTAAAAATCTTCTGGTCATGAATTTTTCTCTTTCCCACAAGCACATTTGACCTGTATTCGTACAAATCATGCGAACCATAACTCTACGGAATTTAAAAACACGTGATACCATTCAGTTTACCGATGACAGTTGATTAACTTTGTAAGCAAATAAATGTATCATTTCGTAAACTTTTTTAAGTAGCTATTAACTGTGTTTCGTACTTTCCGGGTATATTCAATAAATTTTAAGGAAGTTGTGACGGGATAATAAAAGGTTATGAACTGAAATGTATGAGGCTTTATAACCATATTAACATTAAGACAACTGTAGTTTATTTCACACACCCACACATGAATATTTTACAACTCCCGTCTCTTCACTCCTTAAACCTATTACCCAATAATACTTATTAGTTATTACTGTTTTGAGGTGAATATGCAAACCGATAATTTGTGCAGTGATTGTTTTTTTAATAACAATGATTCCTAGAAATCACGTCATCACTAATTTTGACTCAGGTTCGAGCGTGGTTACATTCAGAGATAATTTGTTTCTCAGAACATTATATGTTCATATATTTGGACGAAAATAGTGTGCACATAAACATAATGAGCACATATCTCGACAACATTCAAATCAATGACCACCTTCTTTACACTTATTTGTAAGTCCTCAAAATCTATCATTAGATATTAGGAGAAAACCACAGACGTTTTAATGTCAGCTAATGGTTATTTTATTATCAGAACTGTACTTGAAAATCTTAGAATGAAACCCTTTTGTAGCCAGAAATCATAAACTGTAAACTCTTGGACCGCGAAGTTGATCAAATAGGTAAAATGACCATGACTTACATAAAACTTACATATACCCCTTCTTTATAGATATTAACATGATTAGAAATTCCCACTGATCATCGATAACCGATATGAAAAGTTACAATGGAAATTTAGTCATCTACTTTGCAGTTGCACTCAGAATTTAAATGTGCCACTCTGTCTGTAGATTTTGGTTAGTTTGAAGAGCACAACGTGGTGACCTTCAGAATTTTTCACTAAAAAATTCATTATTTGCCCAAAAACTAGGATTCTGATCAAACTGTATCAAAGTAGAAATATATAGAATGTCATAACCATTTATTACAACTCCGGTACCTGTAAAATATTGATTGTTATAAAACCCATTATATCTACTAATCAAATCTTACGCATAACATCGAAAACGTATGAGTTAAACAACTTCCAAAAGCTGTGATAACGCCTACTTTGTACGCTTTGATTCACCGTATTTTAAAGCTTGTGCAGTTGGTGGCAGTAAAATCACTTCAAATGTTCTTTGTTTATTCAATTCATCTGCTATAGCGTTAACTTCATTTACCATTGGTAATAGCTCAAGTAATTGTTGCTGCAGTATTGCTTCTTCTAAAATATAAATAAACCAGTAATACATAAGATTAAAAATAAAAACAGTTTTGTTAACAATCAAGTATTTTTTTTATTTGTAATCGGTAAAATATGAACCCTTAATTAACAGAGATTGTTAATATTCGCTATGTTTTAGTGAAATGATATAATTTATGATGATGTTTTTTTATTCCAAACTAAAATATTAATCAGACAAATGCTTATAATGATATGACACCTTGGAGAACAACTGATCAATTCAATTTTATTGTTTGATATTTCCATTTATCTTTTATTTATTTTAACTATCAATAAGAAATGAAAAGAATTATCGTCAGTAAACAACATCTACTTTGATACAATTAAGCATAAATAAAATCGTTAAAGCATCCTAACGTGATAATAAAATTTTTAATAGTTTATTATATACTTGATGTGTGGACGAGAATGATAATGATCGGTTGTCTGCTTAGTCAGACATGTAGATAGTCTGACAGGTGTCAGATGAGTTATATATTCTCTTATCCTTATTATTATTATTACTCACTTATTATTGATTGTTCATTGTTGTTGGATTGTGTCGAATTTTAGTGTGGAAATATATTTATGTTATGATCAGGCTAATCACGTGTTCTTGATTTGAGTTGTGTTGAAGTCCTGTAGAATAGACACTGGGTGGTAATCTAGTGTAAATATTCGTTTAAGATAAATTAACTTCCCATACGTGTAAACGTGGAAAACCGACCGTTATAACAATACTGATAAAATTTGTAGACTAGAAAAAAATTTAATCAATGAATCGTTGGTCACACAGAACGTTATATAATTACTTTCCGTAGTAAAATCTATCGGGACTAAATTCCACAATGAACTAAAATAAACTTCGATGTAAAATATATCTGCATTTTTAAAATCTTGACTAATAATGTCTTAGCCTTTTGCGACAGAACAATGCTTTTTTAAAACCGTATTGGTTTAGGTATTTAAAAACACCCGGATTCACACTTTTTACTGACAATAAGTATCTCCTTCATATAGGAAGTCTCTTTAACTACAACTCGGTCTACAGAACTGGAATAGCATTGAGAGGGATTTGACGTATGTGACACTTGTCACTATTCAGTGCTCAATCAATTGTAAATAAATCTCAGGCCTCTAGGAGGTCAGTTGTGGTCCGAATATCTCAGCGGCAAAGTCTTTGACTGTCAAGCTAAGTGACACAGGATCGAATCCGCAAGAAAGCGTCATGCACATCTTCCTGATGAGTATCAAAAAGCACAAAATTTGAGTTCAAGGTTTCTATAGATACCTCTAACCACCAACTTACAACCTCTTTAGTTGATAAACACTTTAATTTCGCGTACATGTTTATTCTTTTGATCAAAATGATAGTTTTGCTTCTAACTAGTGGTGTTAGACAGGCTATATAAGATTCATCCAAATTATTCACCGTTCATCAATTAATATTAAAACGAAAATGAGTCAGTTAGCATCAGTTTGAATACCAGTTATTATAATTAGATTATGAAATAAAGATTGTTTCCCTAAATTACGAGATGAGTTTATTTTTTTAAGTATCACTTGACCATTCAGTGCACTGTCAATTTCACTAAATGACACAACTAGTTAACAGAAACATGTACCTATGTATTGTAAATCCTTTGGACTAAATAAAGATAAGTATTTGATAGAAAGCACGACGTTTTGTAAATTTCAACCACAAATCCGCTTATAATTCCAAACAACTTCAAATTATTACTACTTTTTCCTAAGAGAATTTCTGGAGAACAATTTCTGGTATTAATAATAAAACAATAAAACCTACCCTTCTTTCTAGGTTTATTGCTAAACTGTTCGAAACCTGTAGCTTGAGCTAATTCACGTTGTGCGAATTCCCAGTCAATTGTTTCTGGTTCCATACCAGATTTTGACTCATCAGCAAATTCTTTTGATAATGGATTATGGAATATGTATAGTTGATGTGAGCCTATGAAAATTAAGTCAATAGCATTATTAGAAAACTTTTTGGCGTATGATCATTTTTTTCATTGTTTCTCTAGCAATCTTTCACACTGCTGCCACCTTTTCTTTATAGACTGAAATGCTGAATTTCAAATTAAATTTAAACTCAAAATTAACAAATTTAGTCACTGAAGGTTGGTATTTAACTTCATTACGTAATATTTAATTTGAGTTATCCGACCTAAGCATTCTATACGACTCATCAGCTGGATTTACCCACACCACAGAGTTAATGTTCACTCCAATGGCCTTTGAAGCTAACGGTACTGGGTCTGAGTCTCAAAGTCAACACCAGCAATGGGATTCAGAAACATTTACCTGACGAGTCCCGAATGGGAAGAAACGCGCATCCTGGAGTACATTGTTAGTCACTATTAATTTCTGCTCATAGTCCTTTTTACTTAATGACAATGTCGAGACCCACGTTTGCCAATTGCAATCCCTGGCATCAGTGAGAAGATTCAAACAACAAGTATAAATGAACTAAATCCATATTCTTACCAAATAATATGCGATCCTTATGATGAAGTGTAACAGAGTTCTTCACGGTAACACCATTTACTTTTGTCATTCGAACAGCATTGGGTAAAGCACGTAGTTCTACTTCTGCACCAGTCTTTCCATGTCTTATTAATAAAGCATGTTCATCAACCATACATAAACCTTTCATTTGAATCCAAAATATTTTAGATTTTTCGTTAGATTGCGATTCACTTGGTGGTTCACGTCCGATTCCTGTCTAAAGTAATGAAATGTTAGCTGATAATAAGAGTAATTTGTTCGAATCTATTTTTCCAAACTCTAAGACATTACATTTGTATAAAACAGTTACAAAAACATTCTTCATATTATCGTATCAGATTATGAAAGACGTTTAGTATAACACACAGATTTAAGATCATCTGAATATTTCTAATCTTTGATATTTGTTAGTTAACATTTTATTCATTAAAACTCAACTTCATGAGCATTAATTCTACAGATTATATAGTTAGCCAAACAGCATCATAGTACACCAAAGATAGAATACCATGTGTGACAGGATGAACACATGTATGATAATTTTAATTAATGCAAGTAACAGTGAATGTGATATTTAGTCTATAAAACAACGTTTTTTTACAGATAGATTGCATGTAATCTGTTAATAATTAGTTCACTGAGAATCAATAGACATCAAGCAATGCTTTCAGTCACATAGATTTTACAATAAGTTGACCATACAATCATTCTACGATAATTTAACATTCGATATAAATTTCGTTAGTACACAAGAACAGCAAATAATATGAAAGTTGTTATATCCTAGTGAAGATTAAATTACAAGTAATTTCTGAAACCTATTAATGAACTAATATTATCTATATATTCTTATGGTATAACTATTCAGTAATTAGATTACGTATATATATATATATATATATATATATATATATATATATATATATATATATATATATATATATATATATATATATATTCCTCTTATTATAAGCTTCATTTTGACCTATAGATTATTATTATACGACTTATTGTTCTTACGTTATGTTCAGTTTATTGATTATAGTCTCCCACGTTCACAGCCACTTTTTGGCTTTATTGTGTATGAATATTATTTCGTATTTTATGGCGTGATGCGGTCTGTTTGGCTGATATATAAACTAAGTATGTCTGAAATAAATGATTCGCATCGTGGAATCTGTTATTGGTGTTCTCGACTCGACTTGACGGGCTAGGCGAGCAAAGGACCAATAAGAACGCTGGGCTGCTCCTACCGGTGGAACGTCATTGTTTTAGTACAAGAGTGAATAAGTCGTATTTCGATTGGCGAATAAATTACGTAATAACAAGCCGGACTTACAGTCACAACAAAACTGTTAAGCTTTCATAATATATCGACACAGAATGATGGAACTAGTGTTTTTTCACCCACAATGCTGCGAAAAATAAACACGTGGAGGAGGGTTAATCTGACTGTTCTATCTAAATTCTTCATCAATCATTCTGTTAACAAATGAATAACATACTTATGTAAAAGTTACTTAGAAAATGCAGTAACATACACATGCCTGGGGTCATTAATTTGCAAAACATTATCATTTTATGTGAAAATAAGTATTTTGTAGCTTACTGGCTTTTTAAACATCGCTTATGCATTAGTAGTTACCAAAAATTTCTTAACAAATAAAAGAAACTGTCCCCATTTCCTAACTTAGTTCATGTTGTTCTATTTATGCTTCGAAATGAATTCTGACGTTTGAAACCTATCTTTTATATTTCTACATTTTAATAAACCAATCCTACTTATGACGGGATAGTGGTAATTATATCTCCACAAATTCAAGTTAATCTTCACAAAACAAAACTGCTGAACCCATCTCTATGAGTGCCGAAGAAATACTGTCGAAACTACTGAGTTATGTAAAAATTAGTTATTATAAAAATACTATGGAAGTAATCAAGTATAGTATTTACTTGTTTATGAGATAAAACGTGAATAATAATTCCAGACAGTTGTGGGTCCTCATTCAGATTTGATAAGTATGGTTTTGATTTTGACGAAATACGTGAGTCACCTGATTTCTTAGGAAGTTCAACTGTTTGCTGAGTTATTTCTAATCGAGCTTGTCTCAACTAAACCGAAGGAAAAAGAGACCAATGAAACAAATATTTTACATTATCTGTGAATAAATCATTTAATTACACTTTCAACGTGGATGAAATTTTGTGTTGAATTCTCAAAATTCATTAAACAAACATCAAGTATCACTTTAATTTATTATGTAAAGGAAAATATAGATCACATTATATACTTAAAACAATTTAAGTCGAAAATTCACATTTTGCTGTCGATATATGAATGATACGTACATTCTCTGTAAAGATAGTGCATCACAACAAGAGATTCTTGGGTAGATTAATGAAGTACAACCAACCGCTAATTTTACATCTTAAGAAGGGAGCGAAAGTAAAATAGTCTTTTTGGACGTTCTCTTAACCAAGAGAGTTGATGGATAAATAAGAAGGTATTTAAACAGAAAAAATACCTGGACAGAGTAGTACACATATTTTCCTAGCTTTGTACCTTTACAGTACAAAAAAACTGATAAAAATAGTTGTCAACTATGTGCCGTATGTCCTACGGATATACTTAAGAAAGAACTAAACGCCTCGCGTAATACACTCAAGGAAATCGGATACCCTGGAGAGCTTATAAACAAATATATGATCACGAAGGTTAGTATAAGCGAAATACAAATGGTGAGTAGAAAATCCCTGTTCATGTGCCTACAGTTCAGAGCGGGTGTTGCTAGAGAAATATTAACACAGAGAACACGCAGAAAAATCCAAAAATCATTCAACTACGGAGAACTACAACAAGTGTTTTCTACGCGCCCAATGGTGACATCGAGGCTAAAAGATGAGCTACCTAGAATGACCACCTCATTTTGTGTTTATCAGTTCGACTGCTCTTGTACAGCAAGTTATATTGGTCAAAATTCTAGGAATTTACATTTTCGTGCTCACGAACACCTCCCAGCGTGGCTAAGCAAAGGTCTACTGAAGAAAGCGAACAGCTCGATAATGGCCCATTTAATACAAAATGGTCATCGTGCCAATATAATCCAATCCTTTACAATTTTTTGCCATAGCCTGTCAGACTCAAAGTCCTTCAAACGGCTGAAGTAGTAGCTTTTCAGATTAAGAGACCTGAGCTATATGTACGAAAGAAATATCTCCAACTGCTTATCCTCCCCTGGTCAATTTCAAGGCCAATTAATCAGTGGTAATTTTAGCTATCGAATGACCTAATTTGACTATTGTACTTACAACCTTTATTAATCAAATATAATTGTATCTGTTATCTTTATTCACATATCCTTGTATTACTATAATTATTGGCTCACTCCGCATTCATTTCACTTGATTATGTCTTACCAAGTTTTTACACGTTACAGTCCTCTGCTAAACATTTAATCGAATTTGTAATTGCACCATTAATTCTCTCACCCTATCTGACCCATATTTATTCAGATCATGAATCTTCGTTCATATATTATGTCATATTAAATTCACTTGGTGTTGTTTTACTTATATCTTCCCTTTGTTATTTAAGACTGCAATTGATCAGTCTCTTGTCGGCCTATGTGCATACTGTGCGGACTGCCTCGATACAGCCTAAAGTGACAAGATTTTTAAGCAAAGATGGATGGTGGCTAGTAGTGGAAACCAGGACGCGCGTTTCGTCCTATTTGGGACTCGTCAGCTGGATGTACCTGAATCCCAGAGTTGATGTTCACTCTGGGACTCGAACCCAGTACCGTTCGCTTCATATTGTTGTATAAAATGAATTCTAATGATTGTTGATTATGCCATAAATTATTTAAAGAAGAATGTATCAAGCCTTTTGATTTAAACTACATTATAATTTTTGAACTTCCAAACAAGTTGTCACTCTTTAATGTGTCAATCACTTAGTAATCGACAAATATTTTAATATTTCGAAACTGAATATACTTGTCTGCTTAAACGTTATTAGAGAAAAAAAGTGTATGTAATTCATCAAATTCTTCAGCCAGTGTGATTCCTTATTTGTTAATGTAATGAAAACTAATCGTACGATATCAGCTTACATTTGACAATATGAAAATTCTAATAAAAATAATTTCTTGGGGTTTTGAAGATGATTCACAAGGTATATACAACATTAAATAATTTGAAATTATTGCTTATTGGTTGTGGTTCAGCTAATATAATGAAACAAATCTATCAAGGAACTAATTTTGCAGCTAATGATATAGTTCTTTGATTCAATTTCAGAGAAACTTCATTGAATATCATGTACTGATTAACTACAGGCCATGTCGGTAGATACGGATGTTGTATAGCAACTCAAACCAGTGTATATGTATACCAACTTTAGGTTAATCATGACTAATTAATGATAGGTCATCGATTTTCAATCAGTACAGAATTACCCAACCCAATCACACTTGATGCAGAAACTCTGGAAGAGGTGGAAAGTTTCACTTATCTGGGTAGCATCATCGATGTACGTGGAGCATCTTATGCAGACGTAAAGGCGAGGATTGTCAATGCAAGGACAGCATTCCTACAGTTAAATAACATATGCAACTCAAAATATCTGTCAACCAATATCAAAGTCACAATCTTCAATACCAATGTCAAAACAGTCCCACTGTATGGAACTGAAACTTGGAGAACTACCACAACCATCATCAAAAACGTACAAGTAATTGTAAACAATTGTCTACGTAAGATACTCATCGTCCTTTGACCGGATACCATTAGCAACAGACCATTGTGGGAGACAACAAACCAACTTCCAGCTGAGGAGGAAACTAAGAAAAGATGCCAGGAGTGGATAGGACACACATTGAGGAAACCATCAAACTGTGTCACGAGACAAGCGCTAACTTGGAACCCTGAAGAGAGACTGAGAAGTGGAAGGCCGAAGAACACACTGTGCCGTGAATTGGAAGCAGATATGAGTAGGATGAATAGCAGCTGTAAAGAACTAGAAAGGATTGTCCAAGATAGGGTTGGATGAAGAAAGCTGGTGAGCATCCTATACTGCTCCGTGAGAGGTAATAGGCTTAAGTAAGTAAATAATTGGATTACCACTACATGTTATCGAACATTATGTTTGAAAGCAAATTAAAGAAAAGACTGTTATCATAAGTAACATACTTTCTCATCAAATGCAGCTTGATTCTGAGCTTCGATTGTAGCCAGATTAGTTTCCATCTGTTCCATCATTTCTTTTCTCATTTGGTTTTTAAGATCTTCTATTTCTATAGAAGAATAAGCATACAGTTATATGCATAATCATGGAATAAAATAAATCTACCTTTTGGTGTAAGACCTTTTACGACCACTGATGAAGGTAGTTCAGTAGAGTTCAAGGCTTTCTTTAGACGTTCATTTTCCGCCTGAAAATGAAAAACAAGAGTGTGATGTACAAAAACCCAGGACTGATCATAATGTTTTCTTTAAATTCTTGTTTTATGGGCAGTATTATCAGTTTATTGAAAATTTAAATATACATCCATCAGCTACGGTCTATCAGTAAAAAGAAAACTTGATGTAATTCTTGTGTGGTCTCAGTTCTTTTTCTTTTGTGTACTAAACGGTGATTCAGATTTGTGATTTACATATTCATAATTCTGACAATCGGATGCTATTAAGCTAGTGCGTTTTAACTGGAAGGATTAACCGCGTGAAAGCCTCTGTCAAACTATTTTTAATAGTAGATGATACGGTATATCAGGAGTCAAATAACTAAGAAATGACATAAATGCGTGAAATACTACTAAACGCTGATCACATAATAACTGTATCACTTCGAATCGTAATCCACCATCTCTATAAAGTATGACTAATAAAATAACTTCATCTGTATGTCCTGGTTTTCTTATCTCAACATATTCGGTAGCGTTCGAAAGTGATAAATCTTATAAACTAATTCGGGTTCTTAATTTCATGTAGATTCTATTAATAAAGTCTGATGGATAAGATCTTGCTGACGTTCATTTTAGTATAAGAAAAACATGTTTTTACAACTTTAGTGTTTCTCAGTGCAGTCATAAAAACAATAAATAAATGACTGTTCTCAATAGTAAAATGACTTTTATAAAAAATCCATATTTATGCGGACAATGTCCAGTAATCGTGTAAACTGTTTAGTGTTCAGGAGGATATTCCAATTTATGGATAGGAATATTTAGATGTTATTGAATGAGCAAGATGCTAATGAAACGATGAACGCAATGGTGCATTGTGGCCGGGCGATAAATTTTACGAGACTGGATTGTTGACATGAACTGGAAATGAATCGATAACAAGAGCAAGACTTCAGGCAAAAAAGTGATTCTTTCTTTCAATAAAATGGCACTATTTTGTGCAATATATTTAACACAAGAATAGATATAATTTGAAGTCAGATGAAGAATGAACTATTGGGATATATTTATAATATCATTTAAGTCCCAATGAAATTAATATCTCAATGTCGGTTTTCTTCGTTACTTAACGTATTATAACGTATTTATCTATATATAAAACCTAACCTATAGGTAGCATCATACATATTATGTATATGTGTTTGATTCTGAATTCCTGACGAATCTTAGTATCGGCTCCAAATTAAAATATTCGCTAAAATATTAGGCATTAAATGCAGTAAGTTACGATATTGTGTGGAATAGCATCTCAGTGTAAATGCAGATATTTTTTCTTCAAAGGTTAATGGTCAAACAGGAGGTCATTGAACTGGCGGTTGGTTGATTTTTAATACTTTCCGATGCTTTAATACTTATATTAAGAATAGTGTGTATTTTTCTACATTTAATAAAATAATTATTAAGTTTAGAATGAACATAAAAACTATTCTTATAAACCAATTCAATATCCTTCGGCTTACTCGGAAATTACATCATTCATTGTTCACTTCCCTCATAATCATGCCAAATCTTTCAGCCGATAGTTCCATTACGTTATTTAAGTGAAATCAGATAGACTTTGAACAATTAGTACATACCACTTGACTTTGGTACTGAAGTTGTCATTGTACAAGATCTCCATATGTATCGTCAGTACTTAATTATAAACTTTATTTTTTAAGTCTAGAAGTAATATTTCGTACGTTTAATTCAACAATATCATATTAAGACATTTATGTAACAGCTGTAAAAGTAAAATCCAGCTGACAAAAAAAACAACGAATGTCCTATTCCAAATAATAAATGTTACATTAACCTCCTAGTAATCAAATTAATAAATTCTAAGCAATAATAATCATACATTTCGGATTATAGTGCCTATCATATTACTAAAGTGCATTTCAGTGGACTTATCCGGTAAATCTATGTCTAAACAGTAGTCACACAACATCACGTATTGATTTAAGTTAGACAGCATTAGAAACTGGCTCAATCCTATAGAGGATAGACGTTCGCGCGCGGACACGAAGGCACTGATTTTGATCACATTTGATTGATTCGTGGGCGGACACTGCTACAGAGTTCAGTACTAGATCGAGACAGCTGTGTAATGCTTTCAAGTTTTCAGCGATGCTCTAGATATGATCATTTCGTGATTTAAACTACGAAAATAAACGTTTGTGATATGCTTACTTTTAATTCACGAATTAGTGATTCCATTGGATCTTCATTAATTAAGACTGTATTTTTAATTTGTTTCGCTCGATCTGCATAACGTAACGTGGATAACGTTTCATCGTAATTAATGTCTGCTGGCGATATTGCTGCAATCATAACGGTTTTACTAAATTGTTTTAAACGTGTGTTTACAAACAAAACAATATAATAAAATAATAAGATACTATTTTTATATAAAAAATGCATTACAAAAGAAAAGCTAAACTGGGACACAAAATAACACAAATTGAAACATTTATATTAATATCAGTAAGTAGATAATTACTGATTACAATCTTTGATGAACAGCAAAAGAAAGTTTAATATTTATTTCGGTATTTTGTTCATGTTTTGTATGAATTGATAGAAATACTAGTGAATATATTTGGAGGACTCGATTGCATGATTCAACTGAAAAAACCTTTACAATATAATATATTCTTTTCGATAAATTCTCTTCAGGTTCTACAATTATATATCCAAATTAATAATCCGAAAAAATGGCCAGGTTAAGGGCAAAGTACATCGTTTAGAGCATGTGAATTTAGGATTGTGATAAACAAAATACAATAAAAATGTTAATGTTGATATGACTTATATAGAATGTTAACTTGAATCAGCTTATATGTTAACTAAAAAATTTTAAGATCCATGATCAAAATAAATATGGGTCAAATAGGGTGAGAGAGGAATAATAGTGCAATTACAATTCGATCAAATAAGTAAGACGTAATACGGAGGGGTGAATGCGAAATGAATGAATCATGTATAGTGGAGATAAATGATGTTTAACCAATAGTATGAATAATAATAATAATAATAATAATAATAATAATAATAATAATAACACAAAGATTTATGAATAAGGAAAACAAGGACAATTACAAATGACTACGAAAGGTCATAGTCAAATTAGTTCATTCAATAGTTAAGATTACGATTGATTAATTGGCCTTGATGTCGGCCAGGGGAGGAGGAGTGGTTGAACATATTTCTTCTGTACGCAAAGCTCCGGTTTCTTCATCCGGATGGCTATTGCTTCAGCCGTTTGAAGGACTTTCAGTCTGATCAGTTTTGGCAAGAAATTACTTACCTTATAAATAATTGAAAAAGATTGGTTTATACTGGCAAAGGTGCACAAACCAGGTGTCCCATTAAGACCTATTTTAGATATGTATAACTCTCCTTACCATACTATAGCTAAGTGGTTGGTAACTGTATTGAAACCTCTACACGAAAAGCTTGTAAAATATAGTGTTAAGGATGTGTTCAAATTTGTTGATAAAATCAAAAATGCAAATACGTTGGGACTAAAGATGATGTCATTGGATGTAACATCGTTATTCACAAACGTCCCACTCATAGAGACTGTAGAATATATAGGTGAACAGCTGATAGAAAATGAAATTGAAACCACTGTCCCTATTAGTGTCGTGAAAGAGTTATTACTCAAATGCACCATGAATGTAAATTTCAAGTTCAACGGTGAAATATATAGGCAAACAGATGGCGTGGCGATGGGTTCACCACTGGGCCCTATACTAGCTGATATATTTCTGGCCAAACTAGAAAATGGTCCACTAAAAAAGATTATTCGCAACTTCACATTTTACTGTAGATACGTGGATGACACATTCATCCTCTGTAAAGATAATACGTCGCCGCAAGAGGTTCTTAGGCGATTTAATGAAGTGCATCCAGCCATTCAGTTTACATCGGAAGAAGAGAGTGATGGCCAAATATCCTTTTTGGACGTTCTCTTGACTAAGAGAGCGGATGGATCGTTAAAAAGGAATATAAACAGAAAATGTACATGGACTGGGCAGTATACGAATTTCCTAAGCTTTGTACCTCTTCAAACGAAATTTGATCAAAAACCTGAGTTACCGTATTCGCACTATATGTTCTACTGATATAGTCGAACAAGAGCTTACCACCTTGCATAATACTCTTAGGGAGAACGGCTACCCTAGAAAGTTTATAATTAAATACATGGTCTCGAAGGTGAAAGCAAGCGAAATACAAACAGTGAAGAAGAAATCCCTGTTCATGCGTCTACAATTTAGAGGGGATGCGGCTAGCGAAATACTAACTCAGAGATTACGTAGGACAATACAAAAGTCTCTTAACGCCGGAGAACTACGATTAGTATTTTCTACACGCCCAATGGTTACACCGAAGCTAAAAGATGAATTACCTAGAATGACCACCTCATTTTGTATTTATCAGTTCAACTGCTCCTGTGGAGCGAGTTATATTGGTCGAAGTTCTAGGAATTTAAATTTTCGTGCTCGTGAACACCTTCCAGCGTGGCTAAATAAAGGTTTGATGAAGAAGGTGAACAGCTCAATATTGGCCCATTTAGTACAAACCGGTCATAGTGCCAGTATAAACCAATCTTTTTCAATTATTTATAAGGTAAGTAATTTCTTGCCAAAACTGATCAGACTGAAAGTCCTTCAAACGGCTGAAGCAATAGCCATCCGGATGAAGAAACCGGAGCTTTGCGTACAGAAGAAATATGTTCAACCACTCCTCCTCCCCTGGCCGACATCAAGGCCAATTAATCAATCGTAATCTTAACTATTGAATGAACTAATTTGACTATGACCTTTCGTAGTCATTTGTAATTGTCCTTGTTTTCCTTATTCATAAATCTTTGTGTTATTATTATTATTATTATTATTATTATTATTATTCATACTATTGGTTAAACATCATTTATCTCCACTATACATGATTCATTCATTTCGCATTCACCCCTCCGTATTACGTCTTACTTATTTGATCGAATTGTAATTGCACTATTATTCCTCTCTCACCCTATTTGACCCATATTTATTTTGATCATGGATCTTAAAATTTTTTAGTTAACATATAAGCTGATTCAAGTTAACATTCTATATAAGTCATATCAACATTAACATTTTTATTGTATTTTGTTTATCACAATCCTAAATTCACATGCTCTAAACGATGTACTTTGCCCTTAACCTGGCCATTTTTTCGGATTATTAATTTGGATATATAATTGTAGAACCTGAAGAGAATTTATCGAAAAGAATATTCTTCGTTCAACTACTAGTCTACTAATATAATATATATAATAAAGCACAGGTTTATCGACAATTATGTGTCTGTTAGAATTTGATTAGTTCTTATGTGTCATTTGACTAAATCATTTTAAATAAATAAATAATTATTAAAGAAGGAAAATTATGAAACACGAGAAATATATAATTAATAGGGTGACAAGTGCAACTGTGAGTATCGTTAATTCAAAATAAAGATATGTGAATAGTTATAGAGATATCGGAATAGAAACAGATTCTGCAATGATAATAACAGTAAACAGAGTAAATTGGAGTTAACTTATAGAAGTAGGAGTGGATGACGAAAGGTAAGAGACATAATTAAGTAGACAAAACAAAACTACAAACTAACACCATACTAAAGAGATCCAGCAAATTGTTTTCAGGAGTACAATTCAGGTTTTAATCTATGGAATGTAATGTAAAATAAGTTAAGGTGTACATTTCTTGGTATCTTTAACTAGATTTTGTATCAGAGTCTGAATTTCATAAGTCTACTATGTGTTTTGAAATCGGTGAAGTAACTTGCTTATGTGTGCCTTTTCTAAGACATACTGGCAAATGATCACGAATGCAACGAAAACGTGACCTCGATGAACATCCTACAAGCCTACCTCCACAAAAACAAGTGAACTGGTCAGCTAAGACAACTTATCTTTCATTTGAGAGTATAATAGATGATGACTATAGTAACTTGCAGTTAAGCGTTTTTCCAATCGATCTCTCCAGACGTCATTTTAGTATTTCACCAGAAATACCTCCCTTAAACCTATGACTTATAAACAATGACTATAACAGACTGAAAGCTCTGCGAATCCCTCGATAGTGTTTTATTTGACAGTATTGCTTTTTCTTGAATTTTCCTCCTCGTTTTGTATGTTGACTTTTATCCAAAATTTGTGTAACTATATTTTCACATTTCTCAATCTTCTTTGACAATAGTTACACGTACCAGGGGAGTTCAAAACTAAAAGAAAATGGTGGTCTAGTGTTTCTTGACAATCGATTCTTATATAACTTTAAAGGTTAAATGTTTTAAAAACAACTAGTCGTATAACTATGCATAAATTCTATGAAGTCGTGTAAATAGATTTATCATACATAATTAAACTTACCTATTCCCACCTAAAGCGTTTTGTAGTAGTTTAGTAAGTATTGAATCCCGATAAGGAATGACTTTTTTATTTTCAGCTAATGCCTACAGTGAAACATAAAAATATACTTAAAATAAATATAGTTAAACAAAACGATCTTAAATTTCTTATAAAGATTTATTCGAATGAGATTAACTCGATCTGTCAACTACTACTTACGGATATGACATTACCCAATGCTGATAATGATCGATTGATTTTTGCACCTTCTTTTAAGCGGTCTCCAGTCGCTCCTGTGCTTTCGGCTCTTTCAGAACCTGGAAAAATAAACTAGTTTCTTTAATCTTACTTGATTACATTCATCATGTAAAAATTATAAATAATATTTTATGTGGTTCTACTCAGATTATAAGGTTATTTACCATCAGAAAGGATAATTTGTATTAAAGAAATTTTTATGTATAGAGATAAGTAAACTTATCAACAATGTACTAAAATGTTTTCAATCTTGACAGATCGTGCTTTGTTTGAAAAAGATAGATAAAAAGTATTTATCAAGTTTTTAGGAGATTAAACAAAGCCTACAGGATTTTGTATTACAATTATTAAGTTCCATGAATCAAAGATCAGTTATTTCATTCAAGTTGAATTCATTTCAAGAATCGAACAACAGCCGTACGTAAAATAAAATCAATAGGTTTTCTTCATCAGAAAAAGGTTTATAAATTTATAATGATAGAATAAAAAATATGAAAGTAATTTTGAGAGATCATTCCCGGAGTTCCGACGAGAAACCCTATCCAATGGCGTTGAACCATCTTGGGTGTGAGACAGTTACCCATCAGTAGTGTCTTAAAATGATTATCCAATACCACAAAATGACTAAAGTTACAAAGTGTACCACTGGTTATGTACCAAATGGCCTAATGGCCGGGTGTTTGTCGTGAGACCCAAGGTTCTGCGTTCAGTTCGCATCACGTTTGTGGTTGTGCACTTCTAAACAGTCTCATTCTGAGACAAAACAGCCGCCCGGTTTTTCCTATATATTAATGGTTTCTTAAGGTTAATTCACCATGTAAAATGTAAAAATTAGCATTCTGTACAAATCCCTCATATTAAAGAAAAATTTAAGGACTATTAAAAAAGATCATAAATGTTTTACAAGATGTTTTTGAGGTTTTCATGTAGTTAGGTAAAGTCTTTTTTGGTAACTCTTGGCTACGTATAAACATAATCATATAATGGAGATACATCAACGACTAATCTATAGTGGGCTTTTTGATATGATAAAATCAAGTATTTGTTGGACGTTGAGTGTTAGATTACAATAAGTGGAAAACAACAAAGTAGCTGGAGAGTTTGTTGATTAAAATCATTCTTTAGGTTAGACTTCCTCAACTCCGCCTCCCACTCATGTATAAAACTTAAAGGTGTCTCAAATTACATTTTACATGAAATTAAAAAGCAGTGTGATCACTCAAACAGTGATGAATTCTTACAAACAGTCTTCAGATGATCATAGTGGTCGGAATTCGTTATTTGCGGACAAATGAAACAAAATTTATATTTAATATCATCATAAAATTTATTTTAATAAACCAAACTTTCTTATTTTTAGTCAAATATGAAGCAGAAACTTTCAATTGCTAAATAACAAAACTTTTTTTGTTTAGATCTGACTGTATTTTTTTAACTATATTGTTAAACATGTTAGATCTATTCTGTTTTTTTAATAATTTTTCCTAAGTTTAACTACAATCTGTCGGATACACTAATTACGTAAAAATATCCCAAACTTTTATACCCTACTATTTGACAACTAAGTGAAGCTAACCTGCTAGATCAACTAAATTTATTACTGAACGCTTTCTTGATATTTTAGACTCTTCAGAACCAATGAGTTGATCAAATGTTATTGTAATTATAGTATGAGCTCTGCTACTAGTTTCATTCATATTTGTTGCCGCTACAGTTCTACGCGCAGTACCTATGAAAAGAAAAGGAATATATATTTATAAAACAAAAAATCTCAATATTAAACTACTGAAAACAATTTGTGTTTAATAAATTATATTGAAACAACTTTTATCTAAATTTGAACAGATGATAAGGCAATAGATTTAGTACACAGTTGTTTTGTGAGTCGATTTATATTTGACAGTTCTGATTTCGGATTATTTCACTAAAGAAGACCTAATCTGAACTCACAGCGAAACGTTGAAGTCATTCTCATTTCAATCTCTGAGAATCTTACAAATATAATTTCCATTTTAATGGATCAGCATAAAAATTCAACAAAAATTGCACGAATTTCCAAACCAATTACCAAATTTACTTTACACATAGATGTACATAATATTTTTGAATTACAGTGATTCTTATTATTGAAACAACGTTTGTAGTACTTTACTCAGTGTTCGATACTGGTTAACAGTGAAATCGATTTCAGTCTTCAACATCAACGACGCGAATATTCAAACATATCTTACAAAAATTTGTAGTAATTGACATAGAACAACTTGTAACACTAATGATTCCTGTAGAGAAATCTGGTCTATTTATAAAAACTATATAAGATGTAATAGCTGTAGACAAAATGAAGTTTCGAGTATCAATGCCTTATTTAAATAAGTTTTACTGTTACTACATCTACTACTCGGGGAATTACTCTGAAAATTTCAAATAAATGTGCTAATGGCGTATGTCGACTTGAACCATTGTACAACAGTCCTTGGTTCGCATTCGACACTCGACACTAAAGTGCACAACATTCGCTAGACAAATCAAACAGTGTTATGCGTCTTAATTTGTATAACTTCAGATAGGAGTCAGGTGTATATCTCGTGTGATACAGTTAAACTGCTTCATTTCATGACTTAAACAGATCACTGACTTGAACTAAATCTGCAGTTTCGAATCACAGACTGACTTTGGTTGGACAACCTTTGTAAGTCTGGAAGCACTGAACAAGTGATTCGTTCTACTATTGAACCGTTCAACTGTTCCCAACCATCACACCATAGGGGATCAATCTGAGAATTGTCAGGTCTCCAGTTGACAGCCTAACATTCAGTCTACTGGATTGGCAATTAGTTGTCCTAATTTCTATCTTCAGTTAGTTTGCTTTATCACGTGAACATTATCCGTTTCCATGAGATTTTGAAAGAATGGCTTATCGAGGTTCTTCACTTACGTTGTGGTCGTTTAGTTAGGATGATGTACACTAAGTGAAAATTCGTATTTCTTGTCATCGTTTAATGAGCAAATATTAAAACAGCTTCAATAAATTGATCCTCTTAAATCTGTAAGTGAAGTAATTGTTACTTGTAAATATCACGCACATAGGAAGAAAAAGTTTTAAACGTTACCAATTTTTAGTTCGTTTCAAGTGAATGTTGAGATGTGGAATGTCCAAGTATTCAACAGCCGAATCCTCACATTTTATATTTGTCAGCACGCGATTCCCATCTTTGCAATAAGATTTAACTTACATAGCTTCTTTTTTATGTCACTGTGTTATTTTTTCGAAAATATATAATATAAAATAAATTGCATCGTATGCCTAATTAACTGGAACTAATAAAACTTACATATATCCTGGTTTTTATAGAAATTATCCCCACTTGATAACAATTTAGAAATAGCACTTGTTCTACTTAATAATATATAAGTAGTAATGCCACTAATATCCTCTTGACGATTATCTTGTAGTCATTTGGATCAGCTGCTAGCATGTTCCACTACCAACGTTTTAATACTGTACTATCCTTATTTCTTTCCACTGCTGTGATATTTACATCTAACTTTTGGTTAAAAAGACAATTATTTAAAATATATGGTCTCAGATATTACGAAGCATGTCAGATATTGAGATATGAGCTGAGAAATAAACTTATAGGGACTTATTGAGATCTGCTGTACGACGAGACCAAAGCTTCAAATGAAAACTTTCGTAATTTACTGACATGTACTGATCCAATTTGTCCGCTTTAAACTCAACGTTAGTTGTTTTAAGCAATTTTAAGACTGCCATTAGTTATTTGAAGATGATCTCCATTTATTCAGCCATCTATATTACTGCTTATTTGTTCGTAATATCATTTATCTCTACTTTCAAACAGAAGTAATATACATGGTGTACAAAATAACCAATCATGAGTGCTTAACAAGGTTTCCCAGTATCGATGCTTCCCGCTTAAATGACCGATTATCCTGTACATATTTTTCAAATCTCAGTCGAAATAAAGATGAGTTAAATCACTTCCAAAATAACTACCTTCTTCTTGATCCTGAACAACGTTCGTCCTCCGTGAAGACAGCAAAGTAACTAAGGGTTGGTTTTACACAGATGCGATCAGTTATACGTAAATGCCAAGTAGCAAAAACCTGCTCATATAGACGTTTCATTGCTTTAATACCCTTAGTGTTTATCATCTAATATTTAGTATTCTTATCGCTGACGTCCCATGTCAGGTCTTTCCTTGGCACCTGATATTTAGTAATTTACCTTAGAACTGGTCCGAGAAATTAGTCTACTTTGTTTAAACCAAAGTTCACACATATTTCAATATGGCGTGGACATGTTAGGACTCAACCCAGCAAGTTGGCATCTATTCTTATGCTTCTGTTGATGATGTCGGTCATAGCTGAGATCGGGATTTTCAGATGAATCAAAATCATATACACATTTTGGATAGTGGTTCCTGTGAAAAAAAGATGTGACCACATACAAGAGGAGGGACTTATATTAGGATCAGTTTAATGTCTGTATACGTTAACATCTGATCAAAGATCAACACCGTAGTCGAAACTCAAGTCATCTTTCACTGTTTGGGTTTTAGGTTTTAATATACTGAAGCGTATAGTAATTTTAATGCAGAACTAAGCTTGCTGGAAGTATTGATGCTGAGTATGGAAATGCAAAAGCTTCAGAAAAAAGAGCAGCCAAGAAGGAATCTATCGTGCAGCATCTATAAAGAACTCTACAAGTACAAAGCTCAGACCACAAAATAAGAAACTGAGGATACATTCACCTCATATTCTATTTTTCTCCATTATCTTATATCTAAAATCTATTGTAGTCCTTATAAGTCTCTTCTAAATACTATATTCTGAATTAATATGTGAGAAACCAATTTAGAAGATATTTTTATTATTGTTTCAACAAAATGTATAACAAAAAACAAGTGCCATTTTGTTGAGACTTTCTCAACAAAAATGACAAATGTCAAGGTTCTTAAAATTAGGTTGTTAGGGGATACAATTGTTTAATTCTTTGTTCCATACAATTTTTCAACATTTATAACAATAGAAATAAAATGAATTCATTTCTTCCATTTATTTTATAACTAATAATGAGACCAAATTTTGTCAAGTTTTTTCATACAGCATGAAAACACCGTTAACTTATAGTGTATTTTAAAGTTTTACATCATTGAAAACCAGGAAAACTTGTTGAGTTGCTTAGTCTTAATATGGACCTCATCAGAGGTGCGCATCCACAACCCACAGGAAATCGAACTCATAATCTTCAGGTTTCACACTGGCCGCTTGGTTGACATTCTGTAGTTTACATTTATAATTTCAACCATTTCACAATGTTGTATGACCATCATTCCTTTTCACTGGTAATATCCCTCTCACACTCGACATGAATATACTCGACTAGTCACTAGAAGTTTGGAAATTACCCACTCTTAGTTAAGTGCTGATAACATTATTGAATGCTAGTTTAATACTTTGGAAGTAACTAGCAGTCAAATATAAAATCCACACGACTCAGTCTCACTAAAACCTAATAGTTGATGCTTTTTCACTTGGGATCTTTATCTAATCATAAAGCTCTATTGATTTAGTCACTAGGCAATATATGTTAAATTATAAAATTTATAAAAGCCACTTGTACAATGAATGTTATTTATTGATAAAATAGCTTAAAGTTTTGGTTGAAGTATCTTACGAGCTTGCTTTCACGGTTTCTATAATTAATAAATGGAACACTACTCCAAGTTATTGCTTGTTTTGAATGGCGGTTATTAAATGCTGGCCTAAATGTGATAAAGCTGGAAAGTTGTATGTTCATATCAAAAACTATTAAATGTTGAAACCGCATGACTGAAAAAATTTGTTGATCATTACATTTAATTTTTTTAGTCGTATATTAATTTATTTGTTTGATTTACTAATAAACTTGTATCAAAAGATCACTATAGATTTATTAGCGACTATAAGAAATTATGAATACTTCTTCACTTGTTTGAATGTAGTACTTACACACCAGTAAGTAAAAGTGACTGAAATTTTAAAAAATCTCACTAAATCACTAATGTACACGCCTTAATTAAGGAATCTAAAATGAAATAAGTGCTAAGAAGTTGAACTGTGATAAGGAAACAAGCTGGATTATTTCACATTATTTCACGTTTTTGATCACAAATAATAATTTTAGTGATGTTCGTTCTTACAATATAAATACCTGAGTAACAAAATTATTTGCTAGCTACTCATTGTAATAATACACACTTGATAATTAAACCTAAACGTTCCATATTTCTACATATATATAAACAGTATTCTCTGAATGGCTTTACTCAGATAATGTTTAAAGTTATATCATTATCAAGTTTGACTTTATTATGCAGATTTCTATTCGAAATTGGTTAGTTTTGCAAAATAATTATTACAAATTAAGTAGAACTATGGGGTGAAATGTGTGGAAAACCTAAATCTTATTCCGAAAGTAGTAGAGAAGAGATATATAAGAAGAATAAAGTAATTGGAGACTAGTGAAATAATATATGAATTCTTCCTTGGACATGAATGAAATAATTTTACCATATAATTCTTTTGAATATCAAGACTTAGTCTGCTGGGTTGGAATCCTATCATTGCACCTCAGTGTAGGAAGATAGTTTGAAACTAATAGGAATAATTTGATCAAATAAGATCATTTACCACATGCTAGAACAGAGCTACATTTGTTTAGCATTGAGGATCATGAGAGAAGATATTCACCAATCCTTATGGATATAGTAGTATAGACCAATGGTATTTGAGGACTATATAACTCAATACAATATTTTCTAGTATGCGGATTGTGGAGATGATTGCTGCTGTGGACTTCCATACTAGGACGAAACAGCTCTAGAGTGCTTCACTGTTTTCAATGGTTGTCTGATTAAAGTCAATCCATGATGTGAAATTTCTAACCACTATTATTTCCTCAAATGTTTTGTTCTGCTTCTCAAATATTATTATTTTAAACTTGAGTAAACGGAATCGATACTTCTAAATACTACAGAGTGACGACTATAGTGAATGAAAGTTGGATTCTGTTCTTCAATTATAAAAAATTAAAATGAACTTGATTAATACCCACTAACTTGTCAAGACCCATGAAGTTATACTTTTACATGACTTCCTATCCAACATAACACTAAAACGCCATCGCTTAATCCAATGGACTAATTTACTCTTCAAATTATCAAAATAAATCCACCAAGGAATCCTTTTTATCATCACTAACAGAATGAACATAAAAAAATCTTGAAAATGCATGTGTCACCGTAAAAAATGTGGTTAACTTATATATATCTAAACTACAGATTTATCTACCCTGATTCATTCTTTGTTCAATTTCACTATACGATCCAACTGGTACCTGCGTTAAACCTTGCACATAGAATCCTTGAGCTGGTGATTGTCTAATTTGTAAATTCGTTTGAGATGATTTATCTCTTGTTAACAAATCACGAATTTGTTCATTGTATATTTCCATCATCGTCAAAGTAACTTGGAATTTCTATTCAGTTTAAAAAATACAAACCTTGAAGTATTTTTTTAATGTGGCAAACAGTTAATCTAATAGACAAAAGAATAAATTTTAATTTTGTTCCGAATGAAAACATATAACTGAATTCAAAGTTAATAGATTATATGATCACGATTAAATGCTAAGTTCGCTCAAACCGAGAGCTAATGATATTGAGTCTTTTGATTACCATGGAACTCTGTGTTGCTGATATTGGGTTGATTTGACCCAGTTATTAACATCGGAAGTTACCATACGCTAGATCGATTTACGGGTTATTTTTAACTTTTTACGGCTCGTTGTGCTAAACAAAAGTACTCAAGAAACTTCCAGCATTTTGAGTGAGAATCTGAATGATATTTGGCTTACCAAACATTCAGCAAAAAGTATGTAATAAATGGATATTTAAATATTCATTATAAACATTTACCTTATCAGGATCGTTGTTCTTGCCAATTCTATCAAATAGTTGCTCGCATATGATTGGTACAATGCCTCTAGTCAATAAATTTAATTACTAAACGATATATTTTACCTATTAGGTCCATAGCCAATCATGGAATAGGACTTTCCAGAACCAGTTTGTCCATAGGCGAATAATGAACATGAATATCCACTGAACGCATTTTCAAGTAAACCACGACCCAAATCATCAAAGACATGCCGTTGACTGACATATATTGAATTTTCCCCATCCGGTACCAGCACTCCATCAGTTTCAGTTTTAAAACCATCGTGTGACCTAGGACAGTGAAACGTTTTGTATGCGTATGTGTAAATAATTTCAAATATGCTATGTATAAACTTCCTAGATTTGCGTAATATTTACTTTTACATGAAGACTCATAAAGAACGCTTGAACCTGGATGTCTTACGAATACTAGAGAAAGGAAAATCCAGAGTAAATATAACATTCATGTCAAAATGCAATTAGTTAGCCCACCATGATGAAACCAGTTCACTTAATAGTTACAAGTAAATATAATCTGAGTAATGTTGAATGACAAAAACCCAAAGTATGACCCTTTTACTACTTACATTAAGCTTAACTTACAGCTACCATGATATTCAGTGTAGCTCATTACATGGAGCTTTTCCCACAATGACTAGTTCTTATTTTAGATGTGTTAGCCACCAAACCATCTGATAAAAGATTAAAGGACAGTTGCAAACTCTAATATATATGTTTGCCAGCTTAATTACTCGTCATAATGTGGACTGAATTCCTGTATTATCTCAAAAATACTTGATTAGTGAAAAGTGTCTTTGAATCAAAAAGTCAACGTGTTGTACTCATACTTCAGAATTACTAATAGGGATCAGATAAACTAACCTGGTGATAGCTTTTAGCTCATTTAATCGAAACTAAAAAACGTTGTCACTAGAAAAACGATGACTGATTGGGACCAATTGAATAATATTTTGATAAGATTTAGATATTTTCAGCTAGTAGATGAATTGTTATCTATCTATGCTTATCAGATATCACGAATTGGCTATGAAATAGGTTTTAGCTTATCATGAACGGTTAAGCTATTTAAATTCTACAGTACCATGAGAAAGTGAGAGGTCATATAAAGAACTAATATTGTCTCTACAATAAATATGTTTTTAAAAAATTATATTGAAGTAGCTTTGTAACCTATTCTGAGCTTCTGAGGTAGAATTTTTGTAAGAGCATAAGATTCATAGTGAAACCTATACGAAGAATTTACAAGAGTAATTGTGCTTTGTCTGGAATTCAAAGTATTAACTTCTGGTCTTCTAGGCGATATAACCAGAAATTCTTATCTACTCTATTTTCTGCTTTAGAAGTGATTCTGATGTTTTTGAAGGTGACAATAAAGTCTTCAGAATTTTCGAATAAAATACTGATTAAGATGTTTTCAGGTTATGTCATCAATCAGTGATAGAAACCCACAACTTGGCAGTTTCACTTGTCGTTAGACACTTATGCTGTGAAGTCACATATTCCAATAAACTGAAGACGTTTAAGATAAATTTATACTCTGTACTTCCTGCAATAACAGTTACTTTTCATATTTGACTAAATAACTTGAATAAAGCAACAATGTATGAATATTTTTTCATTGTACAAAAGAATCTGCGCCAGTTTGTTGAAATAATCCGGTCGGTGTAACAGGAGAGGTGATATTAAAGAAATAAAAACAAGTTATCTGATCAAACTCGATTCATAAATTATCTCGACGGAAAATTTACGAAGAAAGTGTTGTTAATTTGAAAAATAAGGTGCATAAAACCCAGAACTTCAGCTGATACCATTTTAAAATAGCACATGGACGACAGGATACATATTATAATAGTGTTTTAGGATGGTAGTCGTTATATTTTCAGCATGTAAGGCTTTATTAGTTTAAAGGAACTCACCAGTATGAGTGATCGAATGTAAATTGCTTAATATCCTTTTGATCTACAACAAAGCAAACAAATAAATATTTGGTCAGTACAATTGTTTGTGTAAAATCCCTTCTATATTCTTGATATCTAATGTTTCTCTGACGAAAAATATGAAGTTAACAATAGTGGCTGCCACATATCTTTCTCTTAAGGTTTCAAAGTTACCGTTATTTTGTCGTCTGGAAGACTAATGATAAGGGCGGCCCACTTAGGCATTTGGGCTACCTGTTCCTGCCATCTAGATATTTCAACAAGTTATCTATTTTTGTTTGTTTTAATGTATCGTTACGTCTATTAATCGTATAACCTATTCTGCTGCGTTTCTGAAAAGTGCACAACCTTTCGTTGTCAAAGTTACAAAAAATTCAATAAGATACAATGTGGTTGCTGGCAATATACAACGAAAAGAATGCACATTATTCAGATGTTCATTTACTGGACTGTTAACATCTAACTGGCGATCACTCAATATTTATCGCCAGGACCGACCAAGAAGAAAGAAACGGAAACTTGTTAAAATACTTTACGCTGAAAATTCTATATTGTACCGAAAATGTGATATTGAATAAAGCTAATAATAATAATAATAATAAAAGTAATATGTAGTGCACAGTTTTTTTTGCGGATACGTTTCTGCAAAACTCAAAGATACATCAGTATTGGAAACAAAATTCATGCCTATGCAAACCCTATAAACAAATAAGTTAATAATTAATGACTCCAAATTTTTAATTTTCGCAACATCTCCTTGGAACAAAATAATCTTAATATTATTGAACTCCAAATTAGATATCTTACTACTTATCAAACAGGCAGTGTTTTATGTTTTATGTAACATAGCTTTTTTACTGATTAGAAACACTTTTTTCAAATTCAAACCCTCGTGCTAGCTACACATAACTTCGCGAATAGTTTATGAAAATATGTTTCCTCGTTTAAATCAAATATTTTTTTCTTTAAGTAAAGGATTTGGATACGTTTCACACTTATTTATTTTAAAACCTGAAACCCCCAAAATTCTTATTCTGCTATTTATTAGATATGTTATATTTTCCTAGATTGGCGACTTGTAATGACGGCTGTTCTGAAGAACGTACTACATCATTAGGACACGTTTTTTCTCTGCCTGAAAATGTAAGTCAAATACTGTGTACTTATCATTTCGAGGTATTATCTAAACTGTGCATGTCAAGCATCTTTCAGATTTCACAAGAATTATTCTTTATCAAACTACTGGCTTTGTTATAATTACACCTCATCTTGATAGCCAACAACAGGAAACACAATAAATCAGTTACGTTGGCTAAAAAATAACACTCCTTGATCCTTTTAAATACAGTACACACTATCAGGTAAACTTTAAAAGATCAAGTATATCAAGGCTTGAATTAAATTAAAGTAAGGAACCTAACAAAAAAATGTTTTCTAACAGTGTACTTTCATCAGTGACCCTTTTAAACATTTTTGCACTATACACAGCTTAAAACATAGTGACCTTTTTGGCCAATTTATCTTCTGCTCAATCGACATATGCGAAGTAAAATTTTGAGTTATTACGCTTTAAAAAAGAGCATCTTCTGTAGTCTAACATAATGTTTGAACCAGAAAGAATAGTATTTTGATAAGTGTCTGGCGTATATTGAACGATTTATTCATAAGTTAGCAAATTCATAGAAACTAGAAAATGACGTATTATTATGTAAGACAGGACTTTTTTTATTACTCTTATCACAAATAAACAGATCGACTAACTTTTGTTTACGAGCATTTAATGTATATCAAAATGCAATTTCCATTAAAAACGGGAAATAAGTAGGATTAACCCCTATACCACAAGCAAAATCTGGCTGATAAGAGCAGAAAATAATTTATCCTGTTAAAAACACTTACAAGTTCATGTGCCTTCACACTGTGATAACAGTTAAAGACTTATTTAATAGGTCGATAATAGACTATATACTATGAATTCAGGCTTGAGTTCTATTCTCTGAGGCGAACCAACAGTTCAATAACAAGACGAATTTGAATAACCTCAGAAACGTATTTTTATTCCAATTTATGTCGTTACATTTCATGTCAATAAATTCATAGTACTAAAACTATTTGTTCTGGTTATTTGCACTGAAATGTTGTTTTCTAGAGCCTACGCATTCATTTTACTTGAATTTCTTTGCTTTGCATCGTATTGACTAGTGTATACATATATTGTACTTGATTCAACTTAATGACAGGGACGGCAAATAGAAGTACCTATGTTAACCATCATTCTTATCGACACTCAGAATTTTTTTCATAGCTTTCAACTGCTCAAACGATTGTTATTATGGTCAGGTAGCGGAAGTTTTTGATCGCTTCTAATTTGTCGAATATCGGCCTTCAGTACACAGTTTGTGATGTAAGTTATCAGCGGCTCTTGTTGCGAATGACATTTCCAGGTTAGACATAACTGCAGACAAATGCACCGGACAATAGATGTTTTCGAGTCAGTTTAATCCGATTCTAGATACTTGGCAGATGAGATATTACAACATTGACATTATACACGATTTGATAGTACCAGATGTTTACTCCTAAAGGAGGTTTATGTGTCCGTATAAGACTAGAAAATTGAGCAACGACTCCGCCTGACTTTTTGTTCAAGCAAAATGCAACTGATGGCGTTGCTACATTTGCTCTTTTATAACGCATTAAACAAACAAAAAGCCAAAAATCAAGCCCAACATCAATATTGCTTAATCCTACGATATCTCATCATAAGAAAAACGGAGCCTTGAAATAATTACGGCTTCGGATGTCGTCCCTTATGTTTCAGACTGGTACTGAAGCCTAACAGTGAACCATCAAACGAAGTGTCTAGAAAGCGGTAAATGAAGCACACAATCACTTATGGTATCCTCAATGCTACACAGACTATCACATGTACGGATGAATTCGAAAGACATCCTCTAAGCAGAACAAAGGTAGGATATTACTTGTACCATATCATGTAAATAAATTCAACAAGACATATTTAATTAGAATTAAGAGGAATAAAATTACTAGTTGTGTGGAAAATTCGATTTATTCCTAGATACCACAAGCCAATTTCATACGAACCCTGCGGCTGTGCAACTAAAAAATTTAAGGTGTATAACTCATGGAGATGGAAGTAAACAAAAAAAAACGTTTTCTTAAAAACATTAATGTTTCTGAGTGATCTAAGGTCTCTAAACAATTTTTTTCATTTACGACAAAAAAAAATCACCTAGAATTTTGATGTCACTGCCAAAACTAAAACAAGATTATGACAATGCGCTATTTGTTAAGTGACAACTAAATAATTACTGCTATTTGTCTCATCTGTGAAGTTTTGAATTACATATTTTTTTATAAACTAACTTACAACTTGTGGGTGTAGAAATTTAGCCGGCACTATACAGTCGTGTACTTTCATAAATTTTCATTGTAAATAATATGTTGCAGCGTGATTTATATATTCATTAAAAAATTCGATTCACGAAAAAATGCTCTCAAGATATCACTTATATGAAACACAAGAATTTGACATAAAATTTGAAAACAATTTAAACCAATAGATTTATATTTCAATATTGCTCAACCATAAATATTTATGAATACTAACTTTCTGGATGTCTAATCGTTGTTGTGCTACCATTCATGGACACTATCAACTCTGCATTCCTCTCTCTTTCCCGTTTGTTGAAAGGCCTAATACGAACTGCAACTTTAACTCTGAAAATAATTTTTGAGCGAAAAAATGACAAACTGTTCTTCAGACATTGCGCAGTAACGAAAAGCTAAACTGAATTGTAGCCAAATGTAAATACAACAGCTAGGTGCATTAAAAAACCGAGAATTACGTTTCAAAGCTGTAAAACGAAGTATTTCAAATTTTTAGTCGAAAATTTCACACTTAGTAATAATATTATTTAAACAATTGTTTAAATCATCGTTTCTGAAGGTTATGGTTATTCAGTAAGCTGTTTAAACTTTCACTGCTAGTATGTAAAAGTAATGACAGAGGCTGAAACTAATAGAAAGGATATTACTGTTTTAAATCCTGGCAAGTTGAAGAAGAGTTCAATACGACAGAAACTTCCACATTTAGATTTATGCCCAAGAGAAAAACAATCGTATCTAAACAGTATTTCACGTATTCATAAAGGAAGGTTGCTCAAAGAAATAAAAAAGAACCAAACTAATATAAATCTTCCTCTACCATCAAGAAAAATTAAATTCAGACCAATTCGATGCAAGTCCGCATCACAAAGTCCCAACCCACCAATTCATACTTCCTGCTGTAATTCAAAGCACAACGGCCGATTCCCTAGCACGGCAGAAAACCGCCTGGTACTCAAGAAGAATGGAAGTATTTTAGTACAAAAAAATAAACGAACCCAACTTCAAGATGTCTATGTGGATTTACTAAATCTACCCCCTATTCCTTTAAATCTAAAAATGACGAAGTCTTTCTCATCAAATCAAGTAAATGTTTCATGCCCATTCCAGTCGAGGATCACTACGATTACAGAGAAAGACTTGGACTTGATTATCCCACAGCTAATAAGACGCCGTTCAGGTTCTTGTTGTCATACTCCTTGTTTTTCTCCATATTTTAAAAATGTATCCGAAACGTCTATACATTTTGCACCAATCCGAATGACAAACATCCACACATTAGAAACACTATGGTGTAAAAAACGTCAGGAACTACAGAGCAAAAATAACACGGAAATCAAAAGACCAAAAATGAAAGCACAGCAATCTATCAGAAGTCCTTCTGCTTATAGCCCTTTCACTCAACGCAGAATGATTTTTAATGATATGGAAAAACGAGATTTGCTACAGTGGTCCCATGATAATCAATTGTCAAATTGTTCCAAGTTGCCTGTCGCGTACTGAGAAATAAGATTAATATATATATATATATATACTGGTAAATATTTATTAGACAAAATATTAATGTTATCACTGGTGTCTAAATGTTCAGTAGTTTTTTTAATTGCCTTTCGATATATATGAAATAAAACATCCATTTAATACTCTTGACTAACACCAAATTAAGGACACATAGACTTGGCTAGATTCACTGTTGTTTTCTTTGTCAGTCGTATTTTTAGTATGGCATCATCTATTCAAAATATGTTGATTTGCTGATTGCGTTCTCCTAGGACCATTCATTCGAATTCACTTACCATTTACCTATCAGTAATTTGTGCATTAAATCTGTTCGGAAAGACACTCATTTATAGATAAGAACACACATAAATGTGACATAAGTTAGATGTTCCTTTTCCCATTTATCAAGTCTCATACTTCTGTCACACCTTTCAGTGAAGAAAAGCAAACTAGAATTACGTTATCTCTTTCACTATCCAAACTAATTCTTGGAAGTCTGATTACAGTCACTATAATGAAACGTTGGGTGTTCAAATGAAAATGTGGTTTTGAACTATTCTAGTAACACAATTTAGTGATCTGAAGCAACAATACGTAACAAAATATAACATGATGAGAGTTACATGTCCAGTTAACATCAAAGTTTCACGTGACCTTTCCGTAGAGGTCTTGAACTGGTTTCCGAGGTTATTGCTTTCTTTCAGTTAACCAACCACAGTTTAGTATCCTTTACCGGAGTAAACTTGCCAATTGGATTTAATGCACTGGGACTAGCAGAGCCAATAGTACAACAAAGACTTGTACTTTCCATTTCTGTGTGAACTATGCGATATTTTTTCGTGTCAAATCCCATGTAAAATAACTTCTCGCATTCAAGATAATAACATCATGGCTGTCGGTGATTAAGAACAACTTTATTTTATTCGTCAAACGGTGCCATTTATAAGAAAGTAATACAATTATTCGGACAGCAAATAACTTTAGAAAATCAATCAATCATGAAGTTTATGAAACGCTGTATAGCCGGCATTCTCAACAGATCTCCAGTGCTTTGAGAAACAACGGTTTAGATAGGTTGTATCACAACCTAACCCACTGAATGAAGTTTGAGTCAGGACGATTGTTGGAGATTTAAGTTTACCAAATTTCAGACATGGTAACACCTTTACTTTACTGGTTGTCGGCTACATACTTTATGCTTCAGTACTCCTCTTATATCTTCTACTTTCTAAAGCGGTTTTAAAAGTTTCCAAAGTCTAGGTGTTTCTGACACAATATGAGCTCTTTGTTTTTAATTCCGGCATTTCTGATGATACTTGAAAAATATTTAAGTTGTCCTGTAGAATTAGTATGCTGGCTCAATATTCAAGGCTTCAGATGCACGAAGTCTTATGGCAAAATGTACTTCATCTAATTCTCAATCTTTAAAAACTTTTCACACCATCTGAAACTTCCTCACAAATGTTTTCGTATAGTAATGTTTGTTCAGTAGGTAGAACAAAGAGCTTAAATTAGCCAGAATATTCATATTTAAACTCCAAGGTAAGTAACGTGGTAATAATGGAGCAAATTTTAAAATCATTTGATGAACGGGATTGTTTAGATACAAATTTAGTGTCCTTCTGCAATACGTTAACTCAAATTCACTGTGTCGCCCGAAAAGTTGTTCAAAAATTATGCCCAAATTTACTTTTTATCTTATTAAGCTAAGGCTATTTCATATGTTTAAAGTGTTGGTTTTATCGATCAATTTCAATATTGATCATTTTAGTTAGTCTATTGGATGGTAATAATAATATATCTACGGTTTTTAACTTATTTAAAACATTGTCCTTAGATGTGATGCAAAAAAGTCACGTGGTAATTTGAGTATTAAGCATACTTTAATCTTATACGTCGAAAGATGTGTTATAGTTCTAAGTATATATGATAAATAAATTACAACGGGGGGTAATAGAACTTTTAGCGTTCAACGTTATATATATTGTGTAGAAGTATTTAATTAAAGTTCTTCAGTATATAAGGAGACTGCTAGAATATAATGACTAGAAAACCTTAATCTGACAAACATTTTTAAGTTGAAAAATTTGTTCTTGTGGCCCTTAGTTTAACCATAAAGTAACAAACCTTGCAAAATCTTACTGACTATCACAGCTTACTTAGCCAACGTTTGCTCCCAATTATGTGCAAGATCTCTATACTCTTAGAAAAAAGCTGATGAATTATCGGGCTATAAACAATTCTTACATGGGCTCAGTTAAATGAGTTGATTGTCTAGTGTTCCATTATTCATGGGTATGTTGCTGGCAATTTCTATATACACCAACCAAAAGATCTGACCGTGTAGCAATTTAAACACACACAAAATGTCGAGTTAAGAAAGATAAACTACGAGAGTAACTCCTTCCAATTTACCGGTTCTATTATTGTCTCTTTAATTCGACCAGTACCACTGCCAATTCTCTAGACATATATATGCGTGGTTTCATGCAGAAAAGTAAGCGTAAAATAGGGACATCCGCCAGCATAAAACACCAGTCGTTTAAGTTATTGCGTAATTTCACGGGAATTTAAATCAAATAACCTATTCGCGGTCTATATATTCAAAGTTAAGCGCGTTCTCTCAAAATATAATACATGAATCGACGCTTATTTCCTTAGACGATCCTTAGCTTTAACGCTGTGTTGGTCTTAACCCCGAAGTATATATTGATACATGTGTAGTAATACGTATTTTGGTTAATATTAACTAATTTAAAAACTTTAAATCTTCTTGTTTCATTGACTAGGTTATGGAATGAATATTAATGAGCACACGTGATAAAGTTTTAACCGGACTTCTCGACTTTAAAAATACTTCGGTTGCATGAAATGATTAGAAATACTATTCATTATCGGCATAGTCGATAGCACATTTGATAATTACAGTTATTATTTCATGTAGGCAATTGAAATGAAATTTTGTCCTAAACGATTGTTCGTTGTCTTCGGCTTCAGATGATGGACAAGGTTGAATAACAGTATTATAAAGCCGAATCTACCACTCACTGTATGGTTCATGTAAGCTTGTAAATGTATTATAAATTCATACACGTTGTTTAACCATGTAAAAGGTTATAAACATATAAGTGCATTGCGTTTTGATCAATTAAATACTTTAATTTTGTCTTTATCCTAAATGGTTAAAAGAGAATAAGAATTGACCAAGAGGCTTGTTCAACCAGTCTGTTTATCACGTTTCATGAACGTATTGGCACCACAATGTTGAAAGCTACAAGAAACCAACTTAGAGGCCGTGAATAAAAAATAAAAGATGACAAAATTGTTAAAATTATTCAACGACACAGGAATACTGTAGCGATGCAGAATTGAAGGTAATAGAATATTACCAAGGAAAAGAGGTATCAAGTGATAAAATGGTAGTTCGCAAATGGTTTATTTAATGAAATCGTGAAAAAATGAAGTCAAAAATCATTCATTTCTCATTAGGTAGGTCGCATAAATTTCTCTTCTTCACCATCATAAATACTTGAATATATACTTATATATATACTTGGGATGCTATAAACCGTCTCCGCAAAAAAGGATGAGAGGGTTAGGAGTAGTCCGTACAAATATCCTCATGCATAACCACTCTAATTGTGTTGTTTTTATGCTATATTGTTGTGTTTTTTGCCAGAGTGAGAGGCTGACTTTGGACAAAAGATTATATTTCGTACTTTAAATTAGTTATCTAAACTGTCAAATCAATATGTATCTGATCATTTATTTCCTTTCCTTAACAAACGCATCCAAACCCCGTTCCATCCGTCCACAACGTTTTATCATGATGGCTAAAATCTCTTTGCTTCCATGCGCAAAGTGCAAACATGCAGAATATAGCTCCCACCTAATGAACCAGTTTTAAGCCTCCTTTATGCTGTTCAAACTATAATAACGTGACATACACTTTCAGCAAGAAATCCCCGGTTCGTAGAAATTATAATCATTTAATAACTGCAGGTGCACGATGTGGGTTGTTTGATCTATTCAAGAATCAGCAGAAGGTTATGAGCTATGTACGTATTAAAACATTGGTGGAATCACAAGAGCAAGGAATATCAAAGGTAACCCTAACTGCGTAAGGAAATTGCAAGGCTTACTTCGAACAAATAAATCCGGGATTTAGAATCTGCCACTGTAAGAACAATGAACAGAGGAACCAAAAGCAACATTGGCTAGAGTGTTTAGCGCTGAGTAACGAGATGTATATGAGTTTCCAACCGTCTTTTTCCGGTTGAATTATAGTGGGAGACTAAAATTGATATAAATCAGGATTCACGATTAAGCACACCAGCTGTATTGTATTGGAAAATTAAAATCAACTCAAGTAACAAGAGAAACTGTCGAGCATCTTCAAAGCCATCACACTTCATTTAAACGAACCTAGACAGGTAATAATAAATTCTTGCGATCTATGTTATCCCTAGTGCTTCAAAACGGGGAGTGTTTCGTGCCTATAGGTAACCCTCGTGTTATTGATAGAAGAAGTCAGACACTAATTGAATGAAATCTTTATTTCGATCTTAGCGCAGTCACAGTGGAGCGTGGGATTATCTGTTCAGACAAACAAAGGCTTCCAGCATTCAATATAAGATAATAAGGAATATAACGCTTATACAAAATAAGGAAGTGAATGAATACTTGAACAATACTGTTTTGGCATATGCTTGGTTGTTTGGGGTCAACTCTTAACCAACCAACCTATGCTGTTACATTAGCTTCCCCCTAGAATCGACTTCCGTAGGAACGTCGGTTCGATTAACCTATCTATCAAAAACACCTTAGTTCTATTTCTCATTCCAAGGGAAACTTATCAACTCACTCAATGTTTGACTTACAATAAGTGGCAACTAACGCTGACAACGGTAGTCCATGGATGTCTCTTCATTTACTAGCTTGTCATCTTATTTAGTAGCATGTGATTTCTTCTACAACTATAGCTGACGGTTTACTGAGTGCTT